GGACAGTTTATTGAATCTCCCTTTAAAATATTTTGAGGCACCACAGGTATTGTTTCTAGGTCGATGGCCGACCTTGAATCAGAGCAAATCGGCTCATTCTAAAACGTCAGGTTCACTTTCCTTCTGCGAATTTTCAAAGTCCATCCTTCAAACTAATTGGGGCACCAAATCTTACAAAAATATTTTACAGAAACATTTCAGGGTTCGTGTTGTAAAGTGAATCATTTTAAGTTTATCAGACATAATTTAACATATGCGCTACACATTTACTTACAGCTTACATTTATATTCTTGTGTTTTTTTTTACAGTTTCTACATTAAACTAGTTAGCGCATGAGCCACCCACTTTTGACAGTCTTACCTATATCTTCTTAATTGTAACTGGAAAATGGTAATGAACAAATGAACAAACTTTTTTTCAGATTTAATCACTGTTAGTCACATTAAGCCTTCTGGTGTGTTGAACTGAACAACATTATAAAATAATGACAGTGAAAAAAATCCCCATATCAAGCTCAGTCTTTAAGGATTTAGATCAAATCTTCACGTGTTACTAAATGAAAGCTTAACAGAGTTGTTAACAGTGTTTTAATCAGCGAACTGCTGTCAAGGATTTCCGTTCATTGCTTAAAAGTTATTCAATATTTCTTGAAATAAAATATAATTCCATTGAATATTGCAATGGCATGCTACGGCTGAAATGGTGAATCCACAGAGAATCACCTTTAACTGTCATGATAATGACTTATATGTCATGGTGTTCAGTCACACAGTCATCTCATATGGAGAGCTGAATCTTTGGAGTCCAGGCTGCTGATCTGACAAAACAACATGTTCGATGTAATATTTACTGTCTATGGTTCGATGTCAACACCGACTCTGGCAACTTCTGGCTTTTTGTGACGATTGACCGATTAACTACAGAGAGAATCCATTTATAAGGAAATAACTTTAAGTTCTATTCGAGAAAATTCCCACAGAGAAGAAATTGTTTATTTTGTGTGTTTTAACAACATGTAATAACACATATCGAGTTGTCTTTGCATACTTGCCTTCAAACAGTTCCGCTCGGCTGAGTTGTGGCACAGTTTGATTTGGCAAGGAACTGAAAAGATTGGTCGCTTATGTCGTCATCAGGCTGAGAACGTGAAAAAAATGTTCAGCTCTAGTTACCTTTTTATTGTTTTTACGCTGATATTACTTAAACAATGAACACTTTGTCTTTCTGTTTTTAAGAACCTAAAACACAAAAGCAATAGGGTTTGTTGCTTATAGAATATACAACCAACATTATAACGCTGCATTTAAAGGAGAGTCCACATGGAAGAAACTGTGTCTCCTCTTTTCTCATTACACCTCTCCTTCTCCAATAGGTTCAAACTATCATACTGACTGACCTTAATTTGTGGTCAAATAAGTCCATTTAACTAACTCAAATGTAGCCAAACTCAACTCTACTCAACTTTATTTATGTAGAATTACACACGAGTTCCACAATAATGAATTATCCATAACAGAGCCTGTAAAAAAACTGTTCAAGGTCGTTGTAAATTCAACTCTTACATTTATTTTTATCCATTTTATATTAGATACAAATGCTATAAATCCTACTTGTTTGTTTTTATTGAATAGATAAATCCTGTTTGAATTTTTATATCAAAATAAAATTGTCCAAAATTTGAAATGGCTGGAAGAAAAATCTGAAGTAACTTCAAACACTGGATCCCTTAAAGTCAACATTTGTGTTTGGTATTCTGGCACACTGAGTGGCATGTCAGTATGTTTTAAAGGGAAATGATGACAAGGATATCAAACAGTGAAATGTCAACAAGGATTATAAAATCTTGAAATGTCCCACCTCTAATCAAAACTGCTTGAGGTAATTTGGGGAGTGTATTGTCCTCCCTTAATCAACACAGTTAATGCTGTCAGACAGGAACAACAGTACACCTTGCTCATAATGCAGCTGTCCCCCTGTGGGATGACTCCACAGCCCTGTTTGCACTTGGAGGAGCAGATCGACTATTTAAAAACATGCAACGTCACGTTTATGTTTGTTTCCATGAAACAGCCACACAGTGTATGATTCACCTTCCTCTCTAGTAAAACAGCTTGTAAGTAAGCTTTAATTTTAGGCAAGGGAAGGCAATCAAGTTTATTTATGAAGCATTTTTGAAACACGGAAACTTTACAGAGTTAAGAACAGAACAATAAGAACATTCAGAGCATTAAAAGAACAATGACTAGGACATTAAAACACAAAACATATTCAAATATAAGATCCAGGAAGCAAGAAAGAAATATAACACAAGTCAAAGAAAATACATTAAAGGAGATACAGTATGATACTATAGGCAAAAGTAAGACTTTAAAATGTTCAGTTTTTCTGTGTGTTTTTTTAAATTATACTTTACTAAAGGAGTGATATAATAATCTGTTCTGTTTCAGTGCTCTGACTACAGAAGACAGACACAGATTCACAGTCTGCTCGTACCTTTCAGTCATGAAACTTTTCCACTGTATTTGAACAATTTGAAGCGCCTCTTCATTTGTCCTCAGAAACAGCGTAGATCTTCTAAATGGTTTAAAAATAGGACAGAAGATCTGTGCTTGTTTTAAAGCTTTATTACTTTACGATACAATCGAGCACTGAAATAATGGAGACTTTATTGCTTTCAGAACTTGTGGTACAAAAGAGTTAGAAGAAGTCTCAAATAATTTGACAAGCTCATTTAACTCATTTTAGGACATATTGTGATTAATGAGTCTTTGATGAAGAGTAATCTGCGCCATGTGACCATCAGTGTTTACAGTGCACTGAAGTGACTGACAAGTCTTATCTTTACTGGCCACTCAATTGATAACCATTGTTTTTTTTATCTGTTGAGTGAAGCACATCTAACATTTGCACATTTTACAAGCATTGGGCTGTTGATAATTTTCTGCCATAACTATAAATAAATTGCACAGTGAAAAGTGTTTTCATGGCTGAATGTGTGTGACGGGACGTAAAGGGTCAACCCCCCAGGTGGTAATAAATAGCCTTGTTATTTGTTTAGCTGGTAGGAGCAGGTACCGCTGTTCTGGCATCTGTCTACCTGTTAAATTCCTTAAGTGTTTAAAAAGTTGTTCATGAATTTCGAGCACTATTTTGTGACTTTTTAAGTTTTCTCCGTCCCTAAAGAGTTTACAGCCATTAAAATGGTTTGAACATAACTGCAGTCACAACATATACCTATTGTCATAGCTGAGGGATGGAAATGTTGCAGCTTGAGATGATGCCAAGTCTATTGTGTGCTAACGTGACAATGCAGGATGTAGGACAATCAAGTGTATTTCACATCCTGTGCAGATGCACTAATCAATAATGCAATAATGCTGTCTTGCCACATTAAATCAAATGTTAACTTTAAGTATAAGCGACATACTTTAAAAGAAATGTATGTATTAAATGTAGGTTTTATATTTTCACTGTTTAATGGACTGCACCTGTGAGAGACATCCTTTATTATAGTTACTGATAACTTAAATTAATTCTGTCTTACTTTTTTAGATGCTGGTGACAACTGTTATACAATGAAACTCAAATGAAATGATATTTGATGAGTGAATAAATCTAGTAATATGGGCGAATATCTGCGATTAAAGTAGTTCTAACTAACATAGCTGGTATATGTGTTGGTCAAAAAGTAGAGTTGAGATTAATGTAAATTATGTTGTGTAGGCTTTAACCAAGCAACCAATCAAAGGGACTTGAAGAAGAAGTCCTTATGTACACATATACATTCTGTGGCTGCAGATTGTTCATTTAGTCGTATATTTGAAGCTTAACAAACATAAAATGTGTTTTCTATCTCATGAACATTTTTAAGGATTATTTTTGTTTACATTTTGAAAAAGTCCTAATCTGATTGCTTGCAGTCTTTGTTTCAGGTCTTCTCTTCTTTGCAAATATTGTGTAAAAACCTGTGCATACGTGTGCATTCTTGCATTAACGACAAACATGAAGACACTTCTTAAAACATAAATACATACATAGTACTGGTAGTTGTCACAGGTCAGCTTGAATATGATTTAGGAGTGTCTGTCTACTGAAAGGTCAATGAATGCTGAGGTATTTCTGAGAAATCTCTTGTTAATGAAATCTCTTGTTAATCATCTACCTGCAATTTAAATGTGAAGCAGATGGCAAATAGGATGACGCAGGCTCATTGCAAAATATAGCTTGAGCACGTGTATTAAAGTTTGAGGTCAATAGAGGTAGACGCCTATTTCAAACTCTGATGAGACAGCTTCTATCCTGTGCATTGGAGTTTTTTTTTAATTACAATTTTACATTGTCCTTTCATTCTTTTTATATATATACTTTATCAACCCCCGTGAGGAAATTCCTATTTACATTTTAAATATGAATTTACATTTTAAAAATTAGTCCCATTATAATAATAAATAATGCATCATTTGAATGTAGGGTTGATACATAGACGGTCCAAACATAGAATGAACATTTAAAGAATACATTTAAAATGAGGAGCACACTGTCGTCTGTTTTACAGTTGCCAATAAAGTCTTAAAAAGAAAAAGTTCTGCACACTACCCTTGCTCAGCATCAACATGCATTACAAAAAAATCACAACATTTCAGTCACTCTGGACTTTTGGCACAGGATTTTCTCTTTTCAAGACGAAAGTATGCAGCTACTTCATGAGATAGTTAGATGAACAAACACCTCCTTTACAACATGGTATCATACATCTCAAGTAAAATCAATCTAAAGTGAAGTGCAAACATATTTGGTCATTAAAAGATATGGAGGATGTTGTAATTATTATATTGAAGTTGTTAAAGGCGTAAATAAACACCCGTTCAGCACGTTGGCCATGTGTTTCCAATAAACCTTCATTTCCCACTTTAAAAAAGTGGGTGTGAGCAAATGAATGTCCAGTCTTAATATAAAGGGCGCTTACGTGCACTCTGACTATTACCTGCTTTGGTGACCATAAGCCCACAGCTGCAACCATGAGGTGGAGCTCTCTGTGGTTGTGTTTCCTTGCTTTTTCTGTCTCCAGTGTCAGCGAAGTCCAGGCCAGACAGGGTAAAATGCTGATGATTGTTTAGGATTGAGTGCAACACTTTTCAGGTCGGGTCTTTTCAGGTTTGTAATGCAACCTGTTTTTCTAAACTTACAAATCTTCCACAGTTCGCAACCATGTCAGCAGTATCTGCAGCACATGGGGCAGAGAGCACTTCAAGACATTTGATGGTGACGTGTACCAGTTCCCGGGTATGTGTGAATACAACTTGGCCTCTGACTGCCACTCCCCCTACCAGGAGTTCTCCGTGCACATGAAGAGGAAGGATAATGATGGAAACCCAACAGTGGGTTATGTGGTGGTTACCATCAATGACCTCTCCTTCCACCTCACTAAGACCCTGGTCACTGTCAATGGCCTTCCGTAAGTAATCAAGTCTAGTACACCAAAAAGCAATATGTGCGTCTCACTTCTATGCTATTTGTGAATGATTATAAAATGTTCTTTTTCACAGTGTCCACTTGCCATACTACAACGGAGGGGTACAAGTGGAAAAAAATGCTGTTTACATCAAGCTCCAATCCAAAGTTGGCGTTGTTGTCATGTGGAATGGTGATGATTCAGTCATGGTAAAAAACTTCATGATGAATTTGTTCAATTTCTAGAGTTCTCGTGATATGATTCACAAGGCATCGGGAAAACAAATGAAATCATCAGATTGTTCCGACTATACTTGGACCTTTATCAGGTCAAAAGATTTTTTGGGATTATTAAACAAAATAACTGAGGCATTGAGAAAGTGGATGAAGGGTGCAGGTATTAACTTTTCTCATTATTGCCGTTCCGCTGCCTTTTTTATCAGGTGCATTGTTTTTTATTGAATTAGGCTAGTGCACATTTAGCAACACATCAGCGGATAACATCCATGTAAATATAAGACAGTCTGTTGCAGTGGTTCTCAACTGGTGGGTCGGGACCCAAAAGTGGGTCGCGTAGCAGTTTTTAGTGGGTCTTGACTCCACCACATGTTTTTGTAACGTCTACTGCACAATTTTACACTAAATAAATCTGGTTGGTTTAAAAATATCAGAAATTTGGGTCGCGATTTCTCATGGAAGAATCGAGGGTGGATCTTGAGGCTAGACAAGAGAACCACTGGTCCATAGAACATCATACAAAAGAACTCACAGGCAGTTTTACAAACAAATTGGACACAATTGTCACACAAGAAACACACACAATTGGGGTATTTGGGGTACACTGGATTAACACAAGAAAAGCCAAAAAAGACATTTCTTCCCTTTGGACACAATCTGTAGACAAAGTTTTTTCTATGCTATTCAAAAAACTGTTGTGGTAACTAAGCTGAAACGATGCTACAATCCCAACACAACCATTAGTTATTTCATTTATAACGTTTAAAAGATGATTGTAATACACAGATGTTTTGATTGCTTTCCAAGTTTTCATTAGCACAATAGGAGTGTTTGAATTTAAAACAAAGTGTAATAACCCCTCTGCTGTGTTGTAGGTGGAACTGGATGCTGATTATGCTAATCGTACTTGTGGACTTTGTGGAGACTTCAATGGCATCTCTGTCCACAATGAGTTTATTCATAACGGTAGATATGGCTTTGATACTTTATGCATTTATGTATTTTAACAATAATCTGCTTTACATTTATATTTTACATCATACTTACAATTAAATGCAGGTCGCAAAATCAGCTCAATTGAATTTGGCAACAATCAGAAAGTCCATCGTCCAAACGACAATTGTGAGGACCCTTATGAAAAGGAGGATGAATCACTGGAGGCTGTGACTGTGCATGATTTATGCAAAGAGTTTGTGAGTTTACTTTTCATAAGTTGATAGCAATATTAGTATTTATTGATGTATATAGACTTTTTAACAGAGTCATTTTGTCTCCCTTTCCCATCTAGCAAACCAGCTGTGAACAAATGCTGCATTCAGAGTCCTGGCGCTCCTGCACCAATCAGATTAATCCAGAACCTTACATCAAGGCCTGTGTGCAGGACATGTGTGGCTGTAACAACAGATCTAATGACTTCTGTGTCTGCAGCACACTGTCCGAGTTCTCTCGACAGTGCTCCCATGCTGGAGGGGAGCCTCCCAACTGGAGGACCCCTCAGTTCTGTGGTAACATTGAGTGTTTTCTTCTCTGTTTTGTTATCTTAATAATTGATTATATGGGAGTGGGGAGGGAAATAAATCACTGAAATGTGATCTGTGGAAAGCAACTCACTTTAAACTTAAGAACTGCACAAATAAGAATGAGGGAGATCTGCTTTCCTGGTTGATTTCACTGTGTGTCAGGTTTGCATATTATTTCCTAGTTGTCCTCACACTTGTGGATGCTATGGATGGAAAATATTTCCATGTAAATGTAATTTCAAATGTAGGCAAAATAATACAGGTCAATACTTTTTCAGTGTAGTAAAAAGCAAGCTTATTTTAACCATTGATAAACTAGTAATTAACACTTTCTTCTTTTGTTCGCAGCTAAAGATTGCCCGTACAACATGGTTTATGAAGAGAGTGGTTCCCCTTGCATGGACACATGCACACATCAAGACACAAGTTCAATGTGTGAGGAACACAAGATGGATGGATGCTTCTGTCCTACTGGTTAGTGCTGCTAACATGTGTATGCTCAAGTTTATAGTCTTGCAATTAAATTTCTAATGCACTGAAAGACGTTCCCAGACATCATCTTCCTAGTCTGTGAATGCTCATGTTAACATGAAATGTGTCACTTTCAGGAACTGTATTTGATAATATATCCTTGAGAGGATGTATCGCTCAAACTGAATGTCAGTGCAAACACGACAGAATCTATGACTCCGGTGAGGTTCACCGACAGGGCAGAGAGGAATGGTATGTCAAATGTTTCATGATGTCACCATGGTATTTCATTTGTGGTGTTTAATTGTGTTTTTCAAATCATTTTGTTAACCTAAATAATGTGTGTTGTTTTAGTACATGTTTTGAGGGTAGATGGGCTTGTAAGAGCCGTCAGACTCCTTCTACATGTGCAGTTGAAGAAGGTTCACATGTAACTACCTTTGATGGGAAAACCTACACCTTCCACGGGGAATGTTACTACACCCTAGCCAAGGTGGAAAGCAAGGTGGATGAGTCATACATTTGCACTAATCAAATTATATAATCAGCTGATTATTTAAGAATTATTTATGTAGTTTTACTCACAAACTATCCATATATCTTTCAGGGTGATGCAAGTCCAAAGTTTACCATCCTGGCCCAGTTGGTCCCGTGTGCTAATCAGAAGTTTGACACTTGTCTTAAAACGCTGAAAGTTCTTTTGAACAATGACAGAAACAATGTAAGTTAAATTAAATTAAAGTCGCCTGTAAGTGAAGACTGTAGTCTTCTATTCACATTGATGTCTGAAACGTCCTAATGAGTTATTGTGTTTTTATACAGGTTTTAATGTTCAGTTCTGATGGCACAGTCAAGCAGAATATGCAGACCATCAGTTTACCATTCAACTCTGGTGGGTGAAACTATCAGAAACTCAAAAAAGATTTTTAATTTCAGCATAACCAAAGATGCAACAAATTTCTTTTCTCTTTTATTCAAAGGTGATATCAACATTTTCCGCGCTTCATCCTTTCACATCTTGCTCCAGACCAGTTTTGGATTGCAAATTCAAATTCAGCATGTGCCTCTCATGCAAGTCTATGTCACCCTGGAGCAGAGCTACAGAGCAAAGACACGTGGCAAGTTTTAAATGTTTCTTCTAAAAGCAAAATATTCTGGTTTACATTGCTTTAACTATAAATTGATGGTTGCTTCTTACTACACTCAGACAAGAATGACACTAATACTGTTGATGTACTGGTATAAATATATATAACAGGTTCAATAAGATGGATGGGTCATAGATCTGCAAAACTGCAGCTGCAGTTTGTAGCCAATTGTTTGATTATCTTTATAGTAGTTTGATTTGATCAAATTTCACAATCCCTGAGTTGTCATATCCATTTTGAAAGTTTCATTACATTACACTTCCTCCTTCTGTTTTTATACAAACTGTTTGGTGGTTTGTTTTGCAAAAGTGCTGATAAAATTGTTGTTTAATTCAGAAATATTTTGTTTTTTCAGGTTTATGTGGGAACTACAACATGGTCCTGTCTGATGACATGAAGACTCCTCAGGGGATTGTTGAAGGAACGGCAGCCTCTTTTATTAACTCCTGGAAGGCTAACATCATGTGCAGAGACAGAGAAGAAAGACTGGATGAACCCTGTTCCCTAAGTGTGGAAAATGGTAAAACGCACTGATTGATCTACTGTTACACACATTTATTTATTAAAGGCAAGTACAGTTTAACATATTTTTAGACATGTGAAAGAAAAAAGGTTGTTATTTCTCAATTCTTAGAGAATTATGCCAAACACTGGTGCGCCTTACTCCTGAGTCCAAGTAGCACCTTTGCGCAGTGCCATTCAGTGGTGGATGCTGACATTTACTATGAGGTACAGCAAAAACTTATCTTTCTCATTTACTCACATTTTTTTATGGCACCACAATCTTCATCAAGTATTTCCTGTCTTCGGCAGAGATGCACTTATGCTAGTTGCAACTGTGAGAAGAGTGAAGACTGCCTGTGTGCAGTATTCTCTTCCTACGCACGAGCTTGTGCATCAAACGGAGTGTTTTTGACAGACTGGAGAGAGAACGTGTGTGGTAAGAATTTCTTTCCTAGAGTTGTGGTAGAGTTGAGTGATGATTTCTGGAGTTTGCTTAACATGTTCTTTTTGAGTCATTAAGCTAAGTACTAAGTATCTATCCTTGCATTGTGCAGATAAATACTCAAGGAACTGCCCAGAATCACAGACCTTCTCATACAAGCATCAGAGATGCCAGTTGACTTGCAGATCACTGGGCTCTATGCAGCAGAGCTGTACTTCTGACTTCTTGCCTGTGGATGGCTGTTCCTGCTCTGAGGGTCTCTACCTTAATGATGATGGCATTTGTGTCACCATGGAAAAGTGTCCCTGTTACCATAATGAAGGGTACATCAAGCCAGGAAAGTCCATCAGCATTAAAGATGAGCACTGGTGAGTGAGTTGTTTGCATTTTAGTGTCATCGGACTTTAAATTAATTATGAATGCAGCACTAGAGTCAAAGAAAATTGTTATTTTGGTATTTGAAAGAAAACTTTTATCTTTGGTGTTTTATTTTCTAGTGTGTGTACCAATGGAGTGCTTCATTGCCGTTCATGGAGAGCCCGCTCGTTAGGTATGTTAATTTGTTTTGTTTGCTTTCTTTAACATAAGAGCTGGGTGATATGATGTTAATTAAATCAGTTTCTACTCCTGTTACAGCATGCCCTTTTCCAAAAGTATTCTTCAACTGCTCTGCTGCTGGCACAGGAGAGCTCGGACTTCAGTGTGCTCGGACATGTTTAAATCTCGACAGTGATGACTGTGTATGTTTTTTTTCTGCTGTGTCTAAATGATAACTGGACATTATACTTTTAAACCACATTTAATAATGGACAGTACAATTCATTTAGGATGTAACACACTGTTAAGTTTCACTAGTTTCAGAAGTAGTTACTGGACTTTTCCATAGTAATTTGTTAACAGCAACTGTAATGTTTTCTTGTTTTTTAATTACTGTTACTCTTCAATCTTCCTAGGACTCCACAGAGTGTGAATCAGGCTGTCAGTGTCCAGTTGGCCTCTTTGATGATGGCAAAGGTTCCTGTGTGAAAGAAAACCAATGTCCATGTCAGCATGGTGGGCATTTCTATGTCCCTGGATCAACAATTCCTAATCAGTGCAACACATGGTATGTTGGTTTTTATCAGAAATACAGTGTAGCATTGTTGGCTGATACTATCTTAAAATGACTATTTTTAACCAATTCTTCATACATTTAGTACCTGCAAAAGTGGAAACTGGGAGTGCACAAACAACAAATGTCCAGGAACTTGCGTCATTTATGGAAGTGGTCACTACAACACATTTGATCAGCGAACATATGGTTTTCAAGGACATTGTGCCTATGTTGCTGTTAAGGTAAACAGAACACATCAGCGTCATCTTAATGGCAGTTAATGTCTGTACAAATCCCTCTCTTCTTGCACATTCATTTTACCCCATGGACACTGAATAATGATCAGAGGAATACAAATGTGGTCAAGTACAATAATGTATTAAAATGTTAATATTTGACTCACCTTTGGTGGTAACCCCCATTTACAATCTTCCATAAGAAGATGACCCATGTATCATCTTTGACAAACAAGTATTGCCAATGTTACTTTAGATATTTCAGTTGTCTTTGTTTCCTGTGATGCAAACAAGCAAAACGTTTAATGATTTCTTCTCCTTTAAGAACAACTGTGGGAATAAAACCATACATGACAACTTTGGAGTGATCACAGAAAATGTACCATGTGGATCAACTGGCACCACATGCTCCAAAACTGTCAGAATCCAACTTGGGGTAAGACCACATACAAACACCTGACATTAGTTCTGTGCTTTGAATATTGACTTTTATTAGAAACAATAAATTAAATGATTGATGGCAATAAAAGTGACATGAATCACCTTAACATTACAGCGTATGGAAGTCAAACTATCAAAGGGTAAACATGAGGAGGAGGACCTGGGACATGGCGCTCAGATTCAGTACAAAATAAGGACGGTTGGCTTGTATTTGGTCGTAGAATCTGCCATAGGTCTAACAGTTATATGGGATCGCAAAACAACTGTTCGTACCCTCCTGGACCCAAAGCACAGCGTAAGTCACAATGATTGGCTCAGTGGTGATGAATGCCATCTGTTACATTAAGAGTTTGGTGGTAAAGTTTTGATATGGTATACCATTGTTTTACATCATTGCTGACCTCCTACTTTCAAATCACTTATCAAAACTCAGTTCTTTAAACAAGCTTTTAATGTATGATTGTGATGTATTTTCTGTAGTTTACCTTTATTGTTGTTATCTTTATGATTTGTGTGTAATGTTGCAATGTATGTTAGTCTGTCCTAACAGACTGTTTTTTAACTATTGTACAGTGTCTTTGAATTTTTTTAAAGTGCATATAAATCAAATGTATCATTATTATTATTATTATTATTTTGGGACACTACCTTTTGATTGTCAGTTGCTATCATTGAATCTTTTACAACATTTATCAAATACACAGTATACAACAGATTGTTTTTTTAACATGGCACATAAGAATATTATGCTTAGATAATAATTTTCACTTGTCTTGCCAAAGAGTATGTTTGTGGGATATTGTTATCATCTAAAGGAATTAATGGGCTTCTTTTGCATGGCTGTACAGGGAGAAGTATGCGGCCTGTGTGGAGATTTTAATGGTGATGGACAGAATGACTTTACCACCCAGGGTCAGCTCACAGTGAGCAATGTGTTAGAGTTTGCAAACAGCTGGAAAGTGTCAAGCAGCTGTCCAGACGTAGATACAAATGTTGATTCTTGTGGAGCAAGACCAAATCGACATCACTGGGCAAAAATGATGTGCAGCATTATAACTGGGGAAACGTTCAAAAACTGCCACAACAAGGTAAAGACAGATTTGTTCCTACTGTATTATTATTACAAGTTCCATTGTTGAAAACATGAATTCATTATTACATGTTTTTCAAAATCTACCTTTTTGCTTCACTGAACAGGTGGCTCCTCGTCCATTTTATGAAAACTGTGTGAAAGACTCATGTGCCTGTGACTCTGGAGGTGACTGTGAGTGCTTCTGCACAGCAGTTGCAGCTTATGCTCAGGCTTGTAATGAGGCTGATGTTTGTGTTGCATGGAGAACTCCAGAAATCTGCCGTAAGTAAACAATAATTTTACGCTGCGATAGGGCTGGGTCTCTGATTTTTTCACAGCCAACTTGAATGATGAATTTAATCGATTTATTCTTCTTCTAAAATAATAAATAACAAAGAAATTTCAAAAAAAAAAAAAAGAGGTTTTGCTTCTTTTAAACCTATAAAATACCAAAAAAACGGATGTGAACTACGGTAGCCCAAGGGAGTGGCAGAATAATTTAAAGAGAAAATCTCAATTAAAATTTTTGAAAATCTGAAGTTTAAACAAACCAATTTATTATAATCATATTGATATATTACCCAACCCCACCCTGAGATTAAATTTAGGGCCTGGGTTCAGGATAATTCTAAATAATTTAGATATTTTCTTAAATATGTATGATGTGGGTATAAACAGAGCAGTCAATATTCTGTGTTTTTAATTATATTTTTCAATTACACCCAAATTTAATTAAAGCTGCAATACCCATATTACAGGCCATCACTTTGCATCACGCAGGGCATGCTTCTTAAAAGTGTTCTTCAAAGATTACAATGATTTCTTCTTTCTTTAAATCGAAACATAAACTAAAAGTAGTTCACCTTTTTAGTGTTTCATTATTTTTAAACTGTCTTATAATTATTGTCATTTGGAGTGGTGGAGATAGGTGGACTTGAAGTTTAGGCTGTCTTCTATTGACTTTCTAATTCATTTTCCTTCAATTAAAACTAAACATATCAATTTTCTTTTCTTCCTAGCTGTCTTCTGTGATTACTACAACAGTCCTGATGATTGCAAGTGGCACTACAACCCTTGTCACACACCTTGCTACAAGACCTGTTTAAATCCACAAGGACAGTGTAGCAGCCCTACACCAAACCTGGAAGGTAAGAGAGAACGCTGTCTCCCTTTATCTATCTATCTATCTATCTATCTATCTATCTATCTATCTATCTATCATCCATCCATCCATCCATCTACATTCAATTCAATTCAATTCAATTCAAAGGGCTTTATTAGTTTAGAAAACATATGTTAACATTGCTAAAGCTAAAGTCATAATAAAACACAAAATTAAGTACAATTAAAGAATAAAAAAGATAAAAAATATTAAAATAACAGAGCTGTACAAGTTAACAATTTTTTAGACCCTATATATACACAATTACAAACAACAATTAATAATAAATGTTTTATTCTTTGTTCTTCTACAGGCTGTTACCCTGTATGTCCCGAAGATAAGCCCATATTTGACGAGGATACCCAGATGTGTGTTGAAGACTGTCCAGGTTGCTTTTACAACGGAATTAGATATGAGGAAGACGAAGTTATTTATAATGTTACTGACAATTTGGGAATGTGCTACTATGCAATATGCAAGAATACAACAGTGATATTCACAAATGAAACTTGTCTTCCACCACCACCACCACCACCATCAACTACTCCTACACCTACACCTATCGCCACAACTACACCTTTGACAAAAACAACTTTGACCCCTTTCACAACTGAAGCTGAAGTTACAACTCCACCAACAACTGGGGAGCCACCCACAACAGCAAAACCTACTACTACAACTTCTCCACCAGACACAACCACAGAATCTACAACTACGACATCTGAACCAACAACTACAACTGCAGAGCCAACAACAACCACAATAGTTACAACAACACCAACAATTCCCACTACAACTGAGGAGCCAACCACAACAGCAAAACCTACTACTACAACTTCACCACCAGACACAACCACAGAATCTACAACTACGACATCTGAACCAACAACTACAACTGCAGAGCCAACAACAACCACAATAGTTACAACAACACCAACAATTCCCACTACAACTGAGGAGCCAACCACACCAACAAAACCTACTACTACAACTTCACCACCAGACACAACCACAGAATCTACAACTACGACACCTGAACCAACAACTACAACTGCAGAGCCAACAACAACCACAATAGTTACAACAACACCAACAATTCCCACTACAACTGAGGAGCCAACCACAACAGCAAAACCTACTACTACAACTTCACCACCAGACACAACCACAGAATCTACAACCACACCATTTGAATCAAAGACAACAACTGCTGAGGCAACCACAACCACAAAAGTGACAACCCAACCAACAACAACTCCCACAAATTCTTGTATTACAACTTGTGAGTGGTCTGAGTGGTATGATGTGCACAACCCACTGGAAGACAAAAGTGACTGGGAAACATATGAGAACATCATAAATAGTGGTAAAGAAATTTGTGAAAATAAAATAGATATTGATTGTAGAGCAACCGATTATCCTGACAAAGACTTTAATGACTATCTTGATGAAACTGGTCAGGTGGTTATTTGCAATGTGTCAACGGGTTTAACTTGTAGACAACAGGACCAGTTAAAACCTCCTCGGAAGTGTTTCAACTATAAGATCAGAGTATGTTGCGAGGTAGAGATTTGTGGAACTACAACCAGTTCAACCTTATCAACTACAGCATCCACTACAACCAAGCAAACTGAACCAACAACTACAACTAAGGAGCCAACCACAACAGCAAAACCTACAACTACAACTTCACCACCAGACACAACCACAGAATCTACAACTACGACATCTGAACCAACAACTACAACTGCAGAGCCAACAACAACCACAATAGTTACAACACCAACAATTCCCACTACAACTGAGGAGCAAACCACAACAGCAAAACCTACTACTACAACTTCACCACCAGACACAACCACAGAATCTACAACTACGACATCTGAACCAACAACTACAACTGCAGAGCCAACAACAACCACAATAGTTACAACAACACCAACAATTCCCACTACAACTGAGGAGCAAACCACAACAGCAAAACCTACTACTACAACTTCACCACCAGACACAACCACAGAATCTACAACTACGACACCAGAACCAACAACTACAACTGCAGAGCCAACAACAACCACAATAGTTACAACAACATCAACAATTCCACTACAACTGAGGAGCCAACCACAACAGCAAAACCTACTACTACAACTTCACCACCAGACACAACCACAGAATCTACAACTACGACACCTGAACCAACAACTACAACTGCAGAGCCAACAACAACCACAATAGTTACAACAACACCAACAATTCCCACTACAACTGAGGAGCCAACCACAACAGCAAAACCTACAACTACAACTTCACCACCAGACACAACCACAGAATCTACAACTACGACATCTGAACCAACAACTACAACTGCAGAGCCAACAACAACCACAATAGTTACAACAACACCAACAATTCCCACTACAACTGAGGAGCAAACCACAACAGCAAAACCTACTACTACAACTTCACCACCAGGCACAACCACAGAATCTACAACTACGACACCAGAACCAACAACTACAACTGCAGAGCCAACAACAACCACAATAGTTACAACACCAACAATTCCCACTACAACTGAGGAGCAAACCACAACAGCAAAACCTACTACTACAACTTCACCACCAGACACAACCACAGAATCTACAACTACGACACCAGAACCAACAACTACAACTGCAGAGCCAACAACAACCACAATAGTTACAACAACATCAACAATTCCCACTACAACTGAGGAGCCAACCACAACAGCAAAACCTACTACTACAACTTCACCACCAGACACAACCACAGAATCTACAACTACGACACCTGAACCAACAACTACAACTGCAGAGCCAACAACAACCACAATAGTTACAACAACACCAACAATTCCCACTACAACTGAGGAGCCAACCACAACAGCAAAACCTACAACTACAACTTCACCACCAGACACAACCACAGAATCTACAACTACGACACCTGAACCAACAAGTACATCTGCAGAGCCAACAACAACCACAAAAGTTGTGCCACCAACAACTCCCATGACAACTGAGGAGCCAACCACAACAGCAAAACCTCCGACTACAACTTCACCACCAGTCATTACCACAGAATCTACAACTACAACATCTGAACCAACAAGTACATCTGCTGAGCCAACAACAACCACAAAAGTTGTGCCACCAACAACTCCCATGACAACTGAGGAGCCAACCACAACAGCAAAACCTCCGACTACAACTTCACCACCAGTCATTACCACAGAATCTACAACTACAACATCTGAACCAACAAGTACATCTGCTGAGCCAACAACAACCACAAAAGTTGTGCCACCAACAATTCCCACTACAACTGAGGAGCCAACCACACCAACAAAACCTACTACTACAATTTCACCACCAGACACAACCACAGAATCTACAACTACGACATCTGAACCAACAACTACATCTGCAGAGCCAACAACAACCACAATAGTTACAACAACACCAACAATTCCCACTACAACTGAGGAGCCAACCACACCAACAAAACGTACTACTACAATTTCACCACCTGTCATAACCACAGAATCTACAACAACAACTGCAGAGCCAACAACAACCACAAAAGTTGTGCCACCAACAACTCCCATGACAACTGAGGAGCCAACCACAACAGCAAAACCTCCGACTACAACTTCACCACCAGTCATTACCACAGAATCTACAACTACAACATCTGAACCAACAAGTACATCTGCTGAGCCAACAACAACCACAAAAGTTGTGCCACCAACAACTCCCATGACAACTGAGGAGCCAACCACAACAGCAAAACCTCTGACTACAACTTCACCACCAGTCATTACCACAGAATCTACAACTACAACATCTGAACCAACAAGTACATCTGCTGAGCCAACAACAACCACAAAAGTTGTGCCACCAACAACTCCAATGACAAGTGAGGAGCCAACCACAACAGCAAAACCTCCGACTACAACTTCACCACCAGTCATTACCACAGAATCTACAACTACAACATCTGAACCAACAAGTACATCTGCTGAGCCAACAACAACCACAAAAGTTGTGCCACCAACAACTCCATGACAACTGAGGAGCCAACCACAACAGCAAAACCTCCGACTACAACTTCACCACCAGTCATTACCACAGAATCTACAACTACAACATCTGAACCAACAAGTACATCTGCTGAGCCAACAACAACCACAAAAGTTGTGCCACCAACAACTCCCATGACAACTGAGGAGCCAATCACAACAGCAAAACCTCCGACTACAACTTCACCACCAGTCATTACCACAGAATCTACAACTACAACATCTGAACCAACAAGTACATCTGCTGAGCCAACAACAACCACAAAAGCTGTGCCACCAACAACTCCCATGACAACTGAGGAGCCAACCACAACAGCAAAACCTCCGACTACAGCTTCACCACCAGTCATTACCACAGAATCTACAACTACAACATCTGAACCAACAAGTACATCTGCTGAGCCAACAACAACCACAAAAGTTGTGCCACCAACAACTCCAATGACAAGTGAGGAGCCAACCACAACAGCAAAACCTCCGACTACAACTTCACCACCAGTCATTACCACAGAATCTACAACTACAACATCTGAACCAACAAGTACATCTGCTGAGCCAACAACAACCACAAAAGTTGTGCCACCAACAACTCCCATGACAACTGAGGAGCCAACCACAACAGCAAAACCTCCGACTACAACTTCACCACCAGTCATTACCACAGAATCTACAACTACAACATCTGAACCAACAAGTACATCTGCTGAGCCAACAACAACCACAAAAGTTGTGCCACCAACAACTCCCATGACAACTGAGGAGCCAATCACAACAGCAAAACCTCCGACTACAACTTCACCACCAGTCATTACCACAGAATCTACAACTACAACATCTGAACCAACAAGTACATCTGCTGAGCCAACAACAACCACAAAAGCTGTGCCACCAACAACTCCCATGACAACTGAGGAGCCAACCACAACAGCAAAACCTCCGACTACAGCTTCACCACCTGTCATTACCACAGAATCTACAACAACACCAGCTGAACCAACAAATACATCTGCTGAGCCAACAACAACCACAAAAGCTGCGCCAACAACAACTCCCACGACACCTGAGGAGCCAACCACAACAGCAAAACCTCCGACTACAACTTCACCACCAGTCATTACCACAGAATCTACAACAACACCAGCTGAACCAACAACTACAACTACAACTGCAGAGCCAACTACAACCACAAAAGCTGCACCAACAACAACTCCCATGACACCTGAGGAGTCAACCACACCAGCAAAACCTACTACTACAACTTCACCACCTGTCATAACCACAGAATCTACAACTACACCAGTTGAACCAACAACTAAAACTGCAGAGCCAACAACAACCACAAAACTGCCAACTACAACTGTAGAGCCAATCAAAACTACAGAACCTACTACTACACCAACTGAACCAACCACAGAATCTACAACTGCGCCGGTAACTGGTCCCCTAGTGCCATCAACACTTCATCCATCAAATCGCCCGCAAGTCAGTGAGAATCCAACCATGACCAAACCATCAACTACATCGCACACTTCAACTGTAACAACCACGCAGAGTACCACTACTGTATGCTTCTGTATAGTTGATGGCAAGCATTATAAACCAGGTAAGAAAAGAAAAATGCAAGTTATGTCTTCAACAGTGACAATTCATAAAAGGTCTGGATTATTTCCATCAATGTCTAATATTCTCTTAATCTTTTTTGTAACCTTTAAGGAGATGTCATATTCAACATGGTACACATTGGATCTGGGGTGTGTCTCACAATCATATGTTCTGATATTTGTGAGATTCAGAACAGGACGGATATTTGTACAACCACATCAATGCCGACAACAACACGTTATATACCTACCTGCCCTGAATGGGATGTTGTGGTAAGAATATGAATGTAAACATTCACGTGAGTCTTTGTTTTACTTTTCAGGGTATGTTTAGAGCACATTAAATAATAATGCATATTTTCACATGAAATGGCTTTCTTGTTTGTTTGTTTGAAATCTTTGAACTAAAAATTATAATTTTCTCTCTTTAAATCAGCAAAATGAGACATTCGTATTGTGCAACTGCACCATGGCCAGATGTATTGAGAATAACACAATAGAAATTATTCCATATGAATGTCCACCCATTGAGATTATCACTTGTACAAATGGGAAAAAACCAACTCTTGTATATGACGAGTACCACTGCTGCCAACATTACGCCTGTGACTGTAAGCAATTTCTTTTAAAAAGATGAGTTGTATTTTTCTTGTTGTTTTGTTTGGCATACATTTTAAATAATTATTCTTTTTTGTTTCCCAGGTGTTTGTGAAGGATGGGGAGATCCTCATTACATCACATTTGATGGATTGTTCTACAGTTATCAAGGAAACTGTACTTATGTCTTGATGGAGGAAATTCTACCGATACATAATTTAAAGATTTATATTGACAATGTCTTTTGTGATCCAACTGAAGATGTTTCCTGTCCAAGATCCATAATTGTATCATATGGAACACAAGTGATCACACTAGTGAATCATAACCTTATTGGAGCAGCACAGTTAGAGGTATTAATGGTCTTATGAAAGCTTGCTTAAACATTCAAAAAATGTTGCCAGATTAACTTGGGGTACATTTGACTGTTAATGTACTGTAGATTAAATATAAATAATAAGTCATTTTTTTATCACTTTATAATTATGTATTTCCTGGTCATAAATTATGTATCTGCTTCCATTGTAGGCACTGAAAGACAGAGTACTGTTAAAACTACCGTATTCACAACAAGGTGTTAAGATCCTGAATTCTGGCATTAACTTGATCTTGGAGATCCCTCGTCTAAATGTTGTCATTACATTTGGAATAACTGGCTTTAGTGTCACCCTTCCATTTCAATACTTTGGCAAAAACACACAGGGTCATTGTGGTAAGGACATATTTCCATTTCTCCAGTTGCCATGTATAATTTATTTGAGTTTACATTGTAAAATTAACTTGACTATTATTCTTGACTGCTGTCAGGAACATGCAATAACAACCAGGCTGATGACTGCATGTTACCTGGAGGCCAGCTCATTGAAAGTTGTGCAGTGATGGCTGACTATTGGCCTGCAACACACATTTACCAACCAAATTGCCAAATCCCTCCTGTACTGCCCACCAATATACCTGAACCCCCCCCAACCTTAACTCCATGCAAACCAGACTCCATGTGTGGCCTGATTACAAGCAGGTAAAGAGTATCAAATCCATTGTAGTTTTTTTTCACATTTATCCTATCAACATTGACATTATGCAGAAAAATGCAACATCTCTTGTTTGTGTGTTTTGCTTTCACAGTCTCTTTGCAGAGTGCCATCGCTTTGTTTCTCCCGACAATTTCTACCAAGGTTGTGTTTTTGATAGCTGCCATGTTTCGAACCCAATAGTGGAATGCACAAGTTTGCAGACGTATGCTGCTGCATGTGCTCAAGCTGGAGTTTGCCTACACTGGAGGAACCACACTACACTGTGTGGTGAGTTACCCTAAATGTTTGGATCAGTTTAATCAGCAATGACAGCAGCCTGTTCCGTATTTATTAAAAACTTGGTTGATGTCTTTTCTTCACTAACAGCCAGTGACTGCCCATCAGACAAAATTTACAAGCCATGTGGTCCGGCAGAACAGCCAACCTGTGAAGACAAGTAAGTGTCAACAAAAAACAGAGTGTAATTGTTTTAGCTTTCTTTTGCATATTATCATTTTCTGAGACAATGATCATAACTGATAATATTTGTGTTTGAAAACATAATAACATTAAAAAGAATAAATCAGAATCAGCTTTATTGGTCATGTATGCTTACATGCACAAGGAATTTGGCTACTTCAAACTGTAGTACAAAAAGTACAACATTAAATGTTAACATAAAATAAGCAAAGACTAATATGTACAAGACTTAATAAACAATAGTGCAGTGGTGATTAGTGCAAAAAAACAACCAAAAAACCAGAGTGCTTTGTTAAATAAATATAAAAATAAACCATTTCTTCTTGATGATTCAATATTACAGTCCTAATGAGCCAACCATGAACTTCACGACTGAGGGCTGCTTTTGTCCTGATGGAATGAAACTCTTCAACAAGGAGTCTGGCATATGTGTTGATAAGTGTGGTAAGTGTGGTGTATAACTTGAAGTCTTAATCTAGAGCTTCTAGAGCTTCAAATATATCAAATCAGTCATGTAGTCCAAAAGCAATTCTTATTTTCCAACAGGATGTCTTGATCCCGAGGGTATTCCTCGTGAGGTGAGTAGTATTCTAATCGTGTATAAAAAACAGTTCTGTTAAGATGCAATTAAGCCACTAATGGAATTTCATGGTTTCAGTTTAATGAGAGGTTTGAGTACAAATGCCAAGACTGCATATGTGAGGAGTCTACAAAGACTGTGACATGCAAGGCAAAGGTGTGCCCAGTACCACCTATTACACACTGCACTGTCCCTGGGTTTGTCATTGTCAACCAAACAAATCCGTCGGACCACTGCTGCTCAACCTTGGTTTGTGGTAAGACATTTTGCCTCAATGACTACAATTGTCTTCTTTTGTTTTCATAATGCTCGATTCAAAAGATAAAAAATGACAATGTCTGTTTACTATGAACTATTTGAACATTTGAACATTTATTTTCTCAACAGAATGTCGCCCCAACACTTGCCCAGGAATCAGTAGTAACTGTCCGATTGGATATATCCCAAGTATTAATGTCCCTGAGGGAAAATGCTGCCAAGAACTTACATGTGGTGAGCTTTTACACTCATAGTTTGGATTTATAAACAGCCTTAAGATGGCTCAGACTTGCGTTATTTCCATTCTTTCTCGTTTCAGAGCCTAAAAGAGTATGTGTCCACAAAGACGCAGAATACCAGGTAAATAAAAATGCCAATGTGAAAATGATTTGACTTATATTTGTCAAATCATTATGGTCCTTCAGTGTTTTTACTGTTTGGTATGGCGTCAACGTATAAATCTGATTTTCTTTCTTCCCATCTAGCCTGGGGATTCAGTTCCTGCTCCCCAATGTCAGGAATGTACCTGTACAAATGAGGTAGACCCCAAATCTGGTCTATTCAAGGTGTCATGCAAGTTTCAGCAATGTCAAACAAACTGTGACATGGTAAGAGAAATGACATACGATTAACATGCATACAAAGTCTACAATGGAAGTTTTTTTTCCTTGAATATGTTTGAGTAAATGTGAAAATTAGATTTTGTAACTTATAATACCCTCCCTTTCTCTCAGGGATATGAATATGTGGAATCTGGTTCCTATAAATGCTGTGGGAAATGTGTACAGACACAATGTGTCCTAAATGTTGATGGTAATAAGCAACTCTTGATGGTAAGTTGGTAACTTTTGTGTGGACTCTGACTTTGTGTGGTTGTGTGTTTGTGTATTTATAACTGTATTTATATTTACATATCTTACTGCCCACCAGCAAGGACACACCTGGTCACCACCTGAGAATAAGTGTGAGCATTACACTTGTGTTAAGAATAATGAGACTTTCACAACAATTAGCTCACACATCGTCTGCCCTCCATTCCAGCAGAGCAACTGTGAACCTGTAAGCAAAACTATAAACAAATGAGACTGCATTGACTGTTTGTGAGAGCATATGTTGGTGTTGAGATTTTATGTTTTACTCCTTAGGACACAATTCAGACTGCAGCAAATGGCTGTTGTAAAACATGTGAGTATAACATTTTCTTTAAATTTGGGTAGAAAGAACTGAAATGTACAAAATCTAATTATGAATCTCTTTGAAAAGGTGTGGAAAGGGAAAAGGCCTGCAAGAAAGGCTCCATGAAAACATATATCATGCATAAGGGCTGTCAGTCTTACCAGGAAGTAGATATGCCTTATTGTGAAGGATCCTGCAACACTTACAGCAAGTAAGGATGATACTTTTGATATGTTTAATTCTTCCAAAACATCATAAACTCATTAAAATTTAGTTCGTTTTTAAATATTGTTTGTGCAGTTTTTAGTAATTCTACCTCTGCTTTCTTCAGATACTCTGAGGTAGCTGCTACTATGCAGCATTCTTGCTACTGCTGTAAGGAGACACACTACAGCAATCGTACTGTTGACTTGCACTGCCTCAATGGAGATGTGGTTTCCTACACATACATGCATGTGGAGGATTGTGGCTGTAGTCACACTGAGTGCACTGGAGATGCAGGACATCATGCTCGCAGGAGGCGAAGCTTCAAACTGGTTTAAGAAAAAGGACATCAACACTGATTCATTCATAAGGGATAACAAAATGTATACCCATGTTGTCTTAACAGTTATTTCTCTTACAATGTGATTTACTTGTAGAGAAAGTATTTACCCATTCTTCAAATAAAAAATGCAACTTCACATCATATCTCTACTTTTGTTACTTGCTTGTTGTTTAAATTACTCATAATTATTACCGATAACAAGTATTAAGTCATTTATTTATTACTGAATTTACATAGAAAAAAAGGCTCTCATGCGGTCTATACACCTGTTTTGTTTCAAATAAAACACATAGCTTACAGAGAAGTTGACATGGCATGAACAGTAGAGTAAACTGAAAACAACAGGGTTCATCTGTGAAGGATTTTAGAAGGTAGGCAGGGCAATTTAAGGTCCCGTCAGAAGAATTGAGTTTTGGATCGAACATCCAGCACGAACTGCCTTTTTGGAATCCCTTGAAAGCTTGCCATGGTTCTGAAACTCAGAAAGGCAGAAAAGCTATTTAGTAATGGGCGGCAGATGGGAATCGGAGGGTCACCGGTTCAAGTCCCGGCACGGACCAAGTCTGGTAAATGGTCTGGTTGCTGGAGAGGTGCCGGTCCACTTCCTGAGCACTGCCGAGGTGCCCTTGAGCAAGGCACCGAACCCCAAAACTGCTCTGGAGTGCTCGCTGTGGGCAGCCCCCTCACTCTGACACCTCTCCATTAATGCATGTCCATAGGATCCTGTTTGTGCTTGTGTTTATTTAGGCCTATGTGTGTGTATCATGTTCATTAAACAGAGTGTAAAACCAAATTTCTCCCAGAGGGAATATTAAAGTATAAATTATTATTATTATAACTATTATTATTTTTATTATTTTTCCAATACTTACAAGGAGGTTGTGGTGACATGTAAAAAACATGTAGGCTACAAGGGAGTAGCTTTAGGCAGGAATGTGAATGATGATAATTAGTGCTTATATCTCTGAGTTATGCTACCATTTAAACATTCTGGAGGTTTAAAAACGACACAGTTTGTGAACTGATCTTATTGCTTCGTCCAATTCCAGCACATCAACCTATACAAACACTTGCCATGCTGTTTGCTATAGTCTTCTTTATCTATGGTGCTTGGAAGACAGAACATACTGTTATGTTTCATCTACACAATACTGGTGTGTGAGCTCCGCCAACAGCAAACACAATGTTGGACCACTCCTTCAGATGGTGACCGTGACAACAAACGTGTTAATCCAATCAGGACAGTCGATAAAACAAATTACACTGGAAAAGTTTTGATTGTAGACAGAGAATGAGCAACATGTTGTAATAACTTTTGACAAACCACTATTTGACTTCCCACTCCCACAGCAGTTATAACAAAGTAGTGTGTCATACAACTTGACAGAAAATCTAGAGGTAAACAGAAATGTAACAAAAAGCCAAACTAAATGTGTAAAATAATCGCTGAAAGTTTTGTTTCTAAAAGCTAAACTTGTTTACTTTTATTTATATTTTAAATATGTAATTACATTTTAAAAGTTAGTCCCATTGTAATAATACATAATGCCTCATTTGAATGTAGGGTTGACACTTGGACGGTCCAAACATAGAATGAACATTTAAAGAATACATTTAAAACAAGGAGCACACTGTCAGCTGTTTTACGGTTGCCAATGAAGTCTTAAAAATAGGGTAACACTTTATGTTAAGGTGCTTGTAATAACCATTAATAACAGGTTATAGGTCACTTATATATATATATATATATATATATATATATATATATATATATATATAAACAAGTTTCTTTGTGTTAATGAATGTCTTACAAGCCAATTATAAATTAATTTATAGTTCAATTAACACTGATGAAGTCTTATTAATGTTAATAAACATCTTATTAATGTTTATGGTGGTATATAAAGTGTTAATACGTTTCTAATAAGAGCCTATACATAGTCTTACAAGACATAATAAATGTGTTAATTATGCCTATATTAACACTTATATAGTCTTATTTGTGTTAATAAGAATCTAATAAGGTCTTATAAGTCACTTATTACCTGTTATTAATGCTCATTACAAGCCCCTTAATATAAAGTGTTACTGCAGATTCTAACAATTGTTAGATAACACATTCCATGTTGCTTTTGCTTGACTGGTACGTCATATTGTCTGAATCAATTGAAGCTTGTATTTATCTCAAGCCTTATCAAATTTCTTAAGTGTATTTGAAATTTGTGCTAATATGATGTAATATAGTTTTGGACACATTTTAGATGTCATCTTGTGATTTTGTATATTTTAACACATATTTATTGACCTCTCCAGAAAATCCTTCCAGAGATTGTTACTTACTTACTTACTTACTAGTTAGCCTTGAACAGATGAACACATTTTCAGTAAAACATTGTCAAAGTAGTTTTTTCCATAAGGGTCTCCTTCAATGGCTGGTTTACTTGAGAGATATGTTAGCGGCGATATGTAGAGGCATGTTTTGGCGAAAATCTGCAGGGTGGGACATTAACTTGCTTTTTTGACAACGAGCCAACTGTGGCAACAAACATGTCCAGATTTTTTTTATTATTATTTTTTTCTCCCTTGCTTTGTCTCTTTCCAGTTTCCTTGATGACCTCGCTAGAAAGCCTAAGTTTTCTATATCTAAGATTTTATTGAACAATTTTGCAGATTGTTACAATATCAGAATGATTTTTCCTTAAGAAGCTGAGCTAAGCTAAATGTTGCTGTGCTCATGATGGATTAACGTTAGGTCTTTGTACTATAGTAAGGTATTTTACCTTTGCGCTATACAAATAAAGATTGATTGATTGATTGATTGATTGATTGATTGATTGATTGATTGATTGATTGAATAATATACAGCACTGTCTCTAAGATTGGTCTCACCCCGACATTAAGTTACCACATTTCTAAATCGTACTTATGTGATACAGGATGGATCATTCTTTCATTGTGTTGAGACATGTAATAGTGCAAATGTTGTTTTTGAAATACTGTACTTATGTGCATATTTAGACATATTGATCATGATTTTGTGTCCTCAGTTTACAACTTTGTCAGCAGCATCTACAGCGCTCAGGGCAGAGAGCACATCCATGTTACCAGGAGCTGTCTCAAGGCACACACAAGAAGAGAGAGGAAGATGATGGAAACTCAGTTTGTGGTGTTCGTCATCAGAACCTGTTATCCTAAGAAAGTTTAAAAGACTATGAACAGAAGTATACATGATATTTTTTATTAATTAAAAACGAACAAAACACATTTCAGTCATATTGTGAATTTCACTTGACGAATATTTAGTGTTTCTGTCTACACTGAGTTGTTATTGGTTTGTTATAAACTTTAAATAAACATCTATCTTATGTATAAGGAAACCCATACTTCAGTCTTTGTTACATTAAGGGATCATGTGTATCTTATTATAGTTAAAATCAAGCTCTGATCTCAAATTCAGCCCTTTGGAGTTTGGCAATGATCATCTAGACAATCATCCAAACAATGATTGTGAGGGACTTAAAAAGAAAAAGACTGCTCACTGGATGCTGGGACTGTGCTGGATTCATGCAAAGGCTTTACCATCCAAGTTCACTTGTGCTATATGGTCATTTGCTCACCATTTCCAACAGAATACATTTGTCTTAGCCCATTAAGAAAACCACCGTTTAAAAGATGCTGCGTTCAGAGTCCTGGAGCTCCTGCACCAATACGATCAAACCTGAACCTTACATCCAGGCCTTTGTGCAGGACATGTGACTGTAACAAAGTCAAATGACTTCTGTGTCTGCAGCACACTGTCCAAGTTTTTCAAACAGTGCCCGTGCTGGAGGGCAACCTCAAAATTGGAGGACAGTTCCCTGGAAACATTTGGAGTTCTCCTTTCTGTTTTGCTTCTGTTCAGCAGTATCAAAAGTTTTTTTTTAAAGCATTTAAAAGCTCATTTAATAAAAGACTGTATGTAGTTTTTGTGCCAATGCCATATGTTTTCTTCTGAATGTGTGTACTGGGAGGATTAACTGGGAAAACTGGATAGGGCAACTTCACTTCGACCTGTCTATTAGGGATATGAACATGTGAAACCTGATTGAGCTGAAGTTGACTCATCTCTGTGGGCTATCAGTTCACATGATCATGATTAAGAAACTGAAGTATATCAGCATTCTTATTTGTGTGTTTTTTTGCTTGTTTGAGTGTGTGTGTGTGTGTGTGTGTGTGTGTGTGTGTGTGTGTGTGTGTGTGTGTTGTTTGTTAGTTTATTTAATATCTTTTTTCATACACATATCTTTGCCCTCCTGCAAGCACAAACCGGGTCACAACCTGAGTATAAGGCTGAGCAGAAGAATGATATGCATTAGCTATCGACAAATGAGACTGGATAGCTTAGTTTGAGAGATCATAAGTTAGTGTTAAGCTTCTGAGTTTCTCTCTTCAGGATACAATTCAGTTTGCAGAAAATGGCTCTGTGAGTATGGCATTTTCTTACCTTTGGCTATAAGTTACTTCAGTGAAAACAAGACAAATGTGAGTATTTTGTGAAACTGTGAAAAAGGGCAGTGCCTGCAAGATTAGAGTCATTAAAAACCAAGGTTGGCAAAAGGGCTGTATGTCTATGACACTGTGAAGCATCCTTCAACACGTTTACTAAGAGAGGACCCTGGGTCCTGGAGGTGTACAGGTCATGGAGAGATGGTAGATAGCCGCCCTCTCTGCAGATTGGATGCTACACTGCAGCTTGCATTTGTCCTCTTCTGTGGCTGCAGCGTGCCAGACTGTGATGGAAGAGGAGAGGATGGACTTGATGATGGCAGTGTAGAAGTGAACCATCGTGGTCTTTTGCAGGTTTCATTTCTTCAGCTGCTGCAGGAAGTACATCCTCCGCTGTCTTTTGTTCACTTGAGGTCCTGGTGATGGGGGTTGATGCGTTTTTTCCTGAAGTCCACAAGCATCTCCACTGTCTTCAAAGCATTAAGCTCTAGATTGTTCTCGCTGCAACAGGTCACCAGATGGTCAGCCTCCCACCTGTAGGCAGACTCATCCCCACCAGAGATGAGTTCAATGAGACACATTTCAGCAATTGAACAGTTCACTTGCTCTGCCTGAAAGATGACGTGGTCCTCAACACATGCATGCACCACAACTTGTGGACTATATGCTTGAATCTTCACCACTCTAATGTGTGCTGGCAGTCACTTTTTATAAAGGCTGAAAGAATGACATAATCTGCAAAAGCAAAGATGCACGTGTGAGGTCCCCAAACAAGACACACTCCTTCCCAGCCTGGGCCCTATACACATTCCTATACACAAATTATACAAAAGGAAAATTGATAGTGAACCTCAAAAAGGTTGTGGCCCAACCCTTAGTAATTATGTCAAATTTCTTAAGATAAGACTTTCATGTAGAAGCACATGCAAAGGTCAATGTACATATCACCATTCCCTTAAGTCTTTAACAAATGTTTGGTCAATGTTTGGTCCAGTGATATGTGGATTTACTCAGATTTACAACAATACATACATACTGTTTGTAGTCATGGTGGCACAACCCAAAGCTTAAAATTCTCTGGATCATTGAAAAAAATACTCAATTTTGTGAATTTACAATGAATGACATACTAATTCCCCCTCATTACAACCAGGACCTCAATAAAAACAAGAAGCATATGGAAGTTAAATTTCACTGAGGAATCCTGAAACCTATATGTAAGAGTTCTCAGTCTCACAGGGTATTTGTTAATAATAACCAGACATGACTATAAATGGAGTCTGAGAGTGATTGACAGGAAGCTTCTTGACACAGATACATAAAGATGCAGTGTTGTCTTAAGCAGCTTCTTTATGGGTGTGATCCTTATAGAGAGAGAAACCACAAGGTTTGACGCCCAGTATTCCTCTTGTACTCCTCCTAATCTGCAAACACCTAATGCGCTATAATACAACACATTGGTAGTACAGGACCATTTGGCTCAACAATCCCTGTCTGAACATGGTTTACTCAGGTATTACGAGAACTGCCAGGATGCCACTTGAATGGGTGATACCGTGGCTCGGCCTCTGCCTGGGGCTATCTACAGCTGGCAGTGGTATGTACACTCCCAGGAACATACGGCGAGGGCAAAAATTAAACCTAATTAATGATCAATAATGTCATTAATATATCAAGACAAATACATCCTAAAAACATGTTCTGATGTCCTTACTGGATAACATAAAATGTAACAGTGCTTTTGCCTGATATTTTTTGTTGATGTGCACTGACTGTATGTATTATTTTTTTGAAGTGATGGTTGAGATGATGAAAAAGCCAGTGATCACGGGTAATTTATTATTTTTCAAAAAATAATGAGAATCAAGGTAGAAATGTACAGTTTCAACCATCGTCTAACGGCATTTTTTTCCCCACACAAACTAGAAGTGATATCCACTCACAATGCCCAGTTCTGCAGCTCATGGGGAAACTACCACTTCAAGACTTTTGATGGAGACTTCTTTCAGCTTCCCTTAAAGTGCAACTACGTCCTGGTTTCTGACTGCAAGAACGACTATGAAAACTTCAATATTCAGTTCCAACGGCAGGAGGAAAATGGTGTCACCACCATTAAAAAGATCACGATGAAACTTGATGGAGTTATTGTGAAATTAGACAACACTGGCGTCAAAGTCGATGATAAAATGTGAGTCTGTTTTTGATGATGGGAGTAGTTGTTTTTTTTTACCATTGAAGCTTTTGTGACTCTTCTTTACCAGTGAAGGTAATGTCCTATCATCTTTTTGTAATGTGTTTTGTGCTATCTAGTGTCACTGTACCATTCAGCCAGAATGGCATTTCTATTGGAAAAGTTATGTCCTATGTTAAAATCGAGGCAAAGCTGGGTTTGACTGTCATGTGGAATGAAGAAAACTCCCTTTCGGTAAGCATAATCATTGTGCAATGTCATAATTTCATTTTGGCAATGTATAAATCATGTCTGACGTGTTTAAATATATTTTTGGGGACTGATAGACACAGACATGAAGATCTGACTATAAATAATCTACAGTTGTATTGCTATTTGAAAGAATCAAGAATTGAATCAGGAGGCATAAAGATAAATTCAATTTAAATTAAAGGTCAACACATTTCTGAGGGTTAGCTGTTTGATAAAAACTTTGGACAATTTTGAAGTTGATGAATTATCCTTTAATGGCATTAAAGAAGTAATTTATGATCCTACCAAAGATATAAGTCTCAGAGATGCTGTTTAAAATCAGAAAAGCAACAGCAGAGGCAGACTATTCAATCAATTAAAGACAACGTTTTATTAATCAGAGGCAACCAAAAGAAAAGGGAAGGCTATGCCTGCAATAAGGAGCACAAAAGTCAATCAAAAAGTTCAAGTACATTTTATTTTTTCAAAAGTTTAAGTCCCCTTTTCTTGGAAAAATTTTATTCGCAGTCAACATTTGCTTAGTTGTCATGTGGATTTTCAAACTATCATTTACAATAAGAGACTACTATTCAAAAAATGTTGTCGGGCAAAAACTGCAGTTCTTTTTTTTAAGATATGTCAACATCATCTTCGCATTTCAATCACTTTTACTGTTCCTCTGATCTAAGGTTGAGTTGGATACACAATTCATGAATCAGACCTGTGGCCTGTGTGGTGATTTCAATGGCATCCAGATTTATGATGAGTTCATCAAAACAGGTAATTGCTAAATTATGAAGCTGGTAAAAAAAAACTTCATAGAATCCGTCTAAACCTTTGCTTAAAACTCTCTCACTAGAAACAAGCGAGTCTGTAGCAAAAGAGGAATATGGGGCTAACTGGAAAGTGGATGGACCTGATGGAAAATGTGAAGAGGACTCTGCTGAAGCCAATCAAATCTGTGCAAACCAGGTATGTGAGAATGGAAAATGGACTGACCTTTAATTAATCTATTTATAAATTATACATATTCATTATATATAACTATGAGACACAATTTAAATAGATTACATAAACTGATCCACAGAAAGGCCTCTGTGAGAACCTGCTGTCAGGACCGGCTTTCCTCAGCTGTCAAGACCTGATCGATACTGAGTCCTTTATCGAAGCCTGTGTGCAGGACCTGTGCCACTGTAACAGCAGCAAAACATGCTTGTGTTCAACTGTATCAGAGTTCTCCCGTCAGTGTGCTCATGCAGGCGGACAACCACAAAATTGGAAGACCGCAGAGCTGTGTGGTGAGAACAGCAGACAGAATATTTATATCTATTTTTTTTATTTTTTTTAGCTTTGATGATTTTACTCCACCGTTACTATACTATTTTATTTTAAAATGGCTGTATCTAGATCATTTTTTTGTCTGTCTGTGTTGAATAGCAAAAACATGCCCTTTCAACATGGAGTATCAGGAATGTGAAAGTCCCTGTACTGACACCTGCAGCAATCCCCAGAGAAGCCAAGTGTGTGATGATCACTGCGTAGATGGATGCTTCTGTCCGTCTGGTAAGTTTCCAGAACTCAAGTACAGATGACATTTATACAGAGTCCCGAAGAATTAAACAATATTTGTTGTATTCATTTCACACAAATAAGTAACTACTGTTTTGTAATTAATGTTAAGTGCTTTTGACTTTTGCAATTGATATGCAAGTTAGTATTAAATGCAGTTTGAATACATTCATGAAGCTGTCACGATTTTTTAAATGGCAGGCAAGCATCTGTAATTTTGTTTGAAGCAGAGTAGAATACTGAATTAAATATGAAATGTTAAGTTTACTACTGTAAAATGTCCCTTGGTTTATTGAAAGGTGCTATATAAATCCAAGCTTTTATTATTATTATTATTATTATTATTATTATTATTATTATGAATAATAATGTTAGATTTTTAGGTTTGCACATCCATCACATTAGTTCTGGGGGGGGGGGTTTACTTAACCTATTTTAAATGTATAAACAAATTCAAATAAATAAATGGACAGTGAAGGCCAGTTTAGGTGTTTTGATTTAATGATTTAATTCTTGTGAAGATATGTGTTTATGCTAAAAATATTTGCCTTGTACAGAAGTTTTAGGACTGTAAAATTTATGGTTAAATAAAAGAACTCATTGTTTGCTGTTCATACATGCTCTCAAATGATTCACTAAGCACTTTTCATTTACAATACATAAGTACAACATTAACTGGTTTTGCATTGTTTAAATAAATTGACTTTTGGCTTAAGACTAATCATGTCATTATGTCTCTCCAAAGGGACTGTCTTTGATGACGTTGCGCAGACTGGGTGTGTTGCTGTTGACCAGTGCTCCTGCTTACACAATGGCAAGGAATACAAATCAGGAGAATCATACTCTAGGACATGTAAAACATGGTAATATATTTACATATTTCATTTAATGTTCAAATTTGCATCATGTTTGCTTAAGGTGATATGAACAGTCAAACTGACTGAACTCTATTTTCAGCACCTGTACCAAAGGCCAGTGGAACTGTAAGGATGTGGATTGTCCTGGTATCTGCTCTGTGCTGGGTGGATCGCACATTTTTACCTATGATGATAAAAAATACACTTTCCATGGAGAATGCTCTTATGTTCTCACTAAGGTGAGGCATTCAAACTGAAATAAATTCATAATTTAATTCACAATCAAACCCACAAAACCAGTTTGTAATTTACTAAAAAATGTTATCTTCTTATCTTTAGGAAATGCATGGCACTACTGTTATTGGTGACTTCCGTGGCTGTGAAAAAACAGCTAAATCAACTTGCCTGACTGCAGTCACTCTTCTACTGCCTAACCAAATGGTAAGCTTTGTCTATGGAATGGCCCTCTCCTAATAAAGTACCTTTATCCCACTTTTTTTTCCTTTTAAATGTGTTTGAAAGATTTAGTTTTAACAGAAATATTGCCATTTTTATTTTCCACTGCAGACGATTGTAGTAAAAGCTGACGGACAGGTTTTTAAAAACAACATTTTGGCTAACCTGCCATCTTTCTTAGGTGAGTGGTTGCTTATTTTAGTTACTGTTCTTTAAAATCACAACATAACTGACTGCTCCAATCAAACAATGCTTTTTAATGTGAAAATGCTTTTTTTTCACAGATGATGTAACCATTTTAAGCCCATCAACATTCTTTGTTGTGATCAGCACCTCCTACGGGCTTCATCTTGAGATTCAGTTAACATCCGTTATGCAGATTTACATCAAAGCCAATGTGTCCAATAAAGGAAAACTCAAGGGTGTGTTTCTTTTCTTAAGTGCTCTTGCTTATTATACTAAACAACATCCTCATGAAATGAATATTATCATTAGTTACTAAGCTGAAGTCATTCTCTCAAACAAGGCCTTTGTGGAGATTTTAATGATGTGGAAGCAGATGACTTCAAAACAACGAATGGATTGATCGAAGGAACGGCTGGGATATTTGCCAACACATGGAAGATCAAAACAAGCTGTCCCAATGTGAAAAATAGACTGATGGATCCATGTTCTCAGAGTGTAGACAAGGGTAGGTCTGAGACACCTTATCGTATATCGTAGAATCAGTCTTCACAACAGGCTGCCAGTAAACATGTTTATTTGTTTTTACAGAGAAATATGCCAAATACTGGTGCTCCTTGCTGTCAGATGCTAATGGGATTTTCTCCCAGTGCCATTCTGAAATAAACCCCTGAAGATTATGAAGCTGTAAGTAGATATTTGTTTTTATGTACATTATGTGTATCAATATTGCATGTGAGTCATTCATTCTACTGCACTTTTCAACTATTAACTTAACTAGTTGCTGCTTCTCTTCACAGTCTTGTATTTATGACACCTGCATCTGTGACAATAGTGAGAAATGCATGTGTGCTGCTTTATCCTCCTACGTCCATGCATGTGCTGCTGAAGGTGTCTTATTGGAGGGATGGAGGGACATCACATGCAGTAAGTGAAATGTGGAGTTAATGAAGATAAGTAATAATAATACATATTTATTAAAATCAAGCTAAAACTAAACTTTTTTTTCCCCCTTTCAACAGAGCAATACACAACAACATGCCCATCTAACTTTGTGTATGGCTACCAAATGGAAAGCTGTGGTCGCACCTGTCGCTCTCTAAGTCAGTCGGACTTAACATGTGAGGTTAAATTTACCCCGCTTGATGGCTGCGGCTGTGCAAAAGGAACTTACCTTAATGACGAGGGAGAGTGTGTGTCAGCTACAAAATGCCCCTGTTATGTGGAAGACATGGTGGTTGCTCCCGGCAGCGTCATAAGAATCAGCGGACAAACTTGGTGAGGATTTAAATATTTCCAGTAAAATTGATGTAGAAACACCTTTAAAGCAATTTAAAATGAGGTTATTGAAATCTTTATTTGTCAGGTGTAGCCAACGTTTAGAGGAGAAAAGGGTGGGGAATGACATGGAACAAACGGCTCTCCAGCAGGAGGATAACTTTAAATGTTGGGATTTTTTTTTATTTTTACACCCAAGACATTAAGTTAACTTGTGGCATTTATTTATAACTGAGAATAAATAATTCTAAATATGTCAGGATCATAGCCCCTAGTGCAAATGGTGGGAGTTTGATTCACAATCATAGGTGCACACATGGGCGTGTGTAAATTTGCTAATTACAAGAATTGGGCGTTGAGTATCACTCAGAAACCAGCAAGGACACTTGTAAAGATCTGTTGCGCGGTTAGTGTTAGTTGGGGCCCACTCAGTTATGTGTCAAGCGGGTTGGCCAGAGGTGACATACCCCAGTGCCCTTGAAATCTGAATGACCTAAAACTATGATGGGTTATTTAACATCTTGGTGGGCCCATATTTACTGATGTTTTTTTATGCCTACCTGTGTGGCACATTGTTACTCTGGTTTTGAAAGGTGCATTATTAATACATCTATTATTGTTTTTATCATTATTTGACTTCTCAGAGGCAGGACTTATGGTGAAGTCAACCATTGGGGTTGGTTTGCAAAAGGCTGTTGTACATTTTTGACTTTTTAAAGTGGCACATTTCCTTTGGTTGTCCTAAGATGATTTATACATTGCCACACTTCTTTAAAGGCTTTATATGTGATTTTTCACACTTAAATATAATAGAAATCAAGTATATCCTCTGAAAATAGCTCTGCAAGTCATGACTGTCTACAATGGGTGTAACACCCGAGTCCCACTGTCTGTGATGCTTTCCGAGTTTTCCGTGTCCTATCTGCAGTTTGTTTACATCGTCGGGCCAGCCGGCCGACTCATCCCCTCACGTATGAAAGTTGCTTAATAGAGAACAAACCATATGACGTATTTCTTTTTTTTTTTTAAACTTAGTTTTTATTTCAGATTCAACAGTTTATATAATAATATTCACAGTTCTTCAATGTTCCTTTTTTGTTTACAGCTGTATCTATATGTTTACAAGGATAAACACAAAAATAAAAGAAAAAAACAACAAGACAGATATAACTTAACTCTATCATAGGGTAAAAATATATATATATATATATATATATATATATATATATATATATATATATATGCGCTTGGGTAGAAAGCCAAACAGAATAATTATAGCAAGCAGCTTAGGCACCTGCAGAACCTCATCATGTCATTTATGAACATAACGACATCTTAATACTGATGTGGAAATATATTGTATAGAAAGATTATTATTAAAGGTATGAATTCCCTATTTAAGGGTATGCATGAAACAAATTAAAAGGTAAAAGATGTAAGCATAACAATATAATGGTAGCCTATCAGTCCTGAAAATAGTAATAATAGAAAACAAAATGTGACCTATAAAAGTATGTCACCTATGAACCACACCATACAGGCAAAAAAAAGTAAATAATGCTTGATCATATCTGATCCTGTACAACACCTGCTACATACATACCTCCCTCATGTATCTTTCTCTCCCGCCCGCGGCCAGAATACGTTTTTCTTAACGTAATCCAAAGCTTTGGTAGCATCAACGAACTCCTTTTTACGCGTTGTTGTGAGAGATGCGAAACTTGGCTGGAAAGAGAAGTCCATAGAGGATTCCCTGTCTCCCCCGTAGCATCCTCCTGACCTCCATGAAGGCCACTCTGGCTTTAGCGACATTTGCTGTGTAGTCCGGGAATATGGCGATCGGACTTCCTTTGTAGTTGAGTTGTCCACTGAATGTCCATGGCGTCTCCCTCATTGTGTAGTCTTGCGATTATTACGTGTGGTTTGTCCCCCGGTCTTCTCTGCGTCAGGCTGCGGTGGGAGCGCTCCACCCGCACCTCTTTCTCCATCTGCAGCACCTCTTGAATAAGTTTGGAATCAGCTGTGGGAGAGCTTGATCCCGATCTCTCCGGTACACCAGAGATCCGTATATTCCCTCTCCGCATCCTGCCCTCCAAGTCCTCACACTTTTCTTATAAATCTTTCATTTGTTTACTGAGGTCTTGCACGTTCACTTGTACCGACAGGACTTCATCAGACCAAGTTGACAGCCCCGCTTCAACAGTTTTCACATGGGCCTTCACCTGTTCAATTTCCATGCGTATTGAGGCTGTGTTGCTAGCAATTTCAGTTTTCAAGGCCTTTATTTCCTTCATTAGGGATTCGAAATCCTCTGCCAAGGCGCTCTTTAGCGCTTCTCTTATTATATTTATTTATTTTCTCAAGGATAGGCCGGGTCTTTGTAATATAGCAATAAGTAAGATCTTTTACCTGCTTTTTGTAACATAACAATTAGTAAGGTATTTTACCTGCTCTTTTGTAATGTTAAAAGACAAAGAGTAAGGTATTTTACCTGCTCTTTTGTAATGTTAACAGACAAAGAGTAAGGTATTTTACCTGCTCTTTTGTAATGTTAACAGACAAAGAGTAAGGTATTTTACCTGCTCTTTTGTAAAGTGTCTCAATATAACACTTGTTATGAGTTGACGCTATACAAATACAAATTGATTGATGGATTGAAGGATGAGAGGATATCAGCTTTGACAGATGCAATTGGATCCGTCAAATGGATGATGGATTTTTCCGCAGGTGCGGCCTTATCCGGGCTGTGTGAACTCCTTTACGAGAATGTGTTGGGCCTTGTGTTGGACGAGCTGTCGTACTTATATTTTTGAAGATTCAATGCCATCCACGCCAATTTTGCCGAGCTTTTGCCACAATCTGGTTTATTGTAGTATACCTACATGAGACATCTCCGACTAGTGAGAGAGTTCCCGGCCTCTGTGTCCAGCGTGATGACGTTTAATGTCCCCTACAACCACTGTAGTCACATTTAGCCCCTTGTTAGCAACCGCCTTTTTAAAGACACGTAAAAACTTCAAAATTCACAAGTGGGGGTATTACCTAACGTAGTTGATGTGGTATAACAAAACGCCAACATCTCTTAAGCTTGTGTTAACCACAGACCTTATTTCAGGCGTCTAACCAAAAACCCATTCAAAATCCCCATTGACTTTTAGACGTTAGACCCCATGGGGGGTTGTTTTGGTCATGCTGGTGCTCAATGGCGACATCTGCTGGATCAAAAAATCGCATTTAAAGCCTTTAAGTAAGAATTAAACACAGGAAAATAACATCAGTGGAAACAAACAGTTAGTAAATGCATATCATTAATGTGTCTGCATACATACTTCATGGCACCCCTACACGAGTTAGTGCTCCAATTATGATCAGTGGAAAAAAGTCTGGACATGCCCCTGGCCCCAATAACTTAATGAACCAGTAGAATGTAAGATTGGAAAAGTTCTACCAGTTGGAAGCCAAGCACTGCATTGCTTCTTTTTTTTTTTGCTTAAGCAAGCAATGTAGAAAATATGAGCAGGGAATAATAAGAAATTATATTTCTCCTCTTGTTCCATTGTTTATTCTTTCTTTGTATTTCAGCTCATGCCATGGTGGAAAACTAAGCTGTACAGGAATCCACATTAGGGAATGTAGGTCAAAGCTCCCAGTTTGTCATAGTATTTTTATATCAAACAACATATGAACAACACAAAAACACAGGGGTTATCTTTGTAACACGCTATCATTGTCTACAGCTTGCAAAAGTCCAATGGTATATTTCGACTGCTCAAGTGCAAAGCCTGGTGTCAACGGATCTGAGTGCCAAAAAAGCTGCCAAACAGTGGACACAGAATGTGTAAGATAAACCATTTGGTTCATGCCATTTTTTGTATATTGTACACTTCTTAACAGAAGAATAACATGCTAAATACTTTGATTTACGCTGTATAGGTCAGTAAAAAATGTGTCTCAGGCTGTGTATGTCCTGCTGGCCTACTGTCAGATGATGAAGGAGGCTGTATTGCAGAAGAGAACTGTCCCTGCACATATCATGGAGAATCTTATCCATCTGGACAGACTGTCACTGTAGACTGCAATACCTGGTAGGCCCCTTTATCTTTTCCGGAACAAATATATTGCTTTGCCAGTTTAATGTTTGCTATTTTTTTTGTAAATGGATCTATTCAATTTAATGTTATCATATCTGTTTAAATCATAGCACTTGCAAAAGCAGAAAATGGAAGTGTACAGATCGTCAGTGTGATGGTACCTGTACCATATATGGAGAAGGACACTACATCACTTTTGATGAAAAGAAGTTTTCCTTTAACGGAGACTGTGGATACGTCTTTACCCAGGTAGGGAAGATGCTTAGATCAAGGCTTTGTTATTTGTCAAAAGTCAGTCCTAAGAAACTGACATCAGTGTCTGACAGGATTACTGTGGGGACCAAATGGATGGCACTTTCAGGGTTGTAACTGAGAGCATCCCATGTGGAACAACTGAAAGCATCTGCTCCACTGCTATTAAGCTCTACTTAGGGGTACGTAACACTATTGTATGCATGTTTAATCATGTTTAAAAAAATCGGAAAATGACATTGTGGGGTTACAAACTAACATGTTTTTTTTTAGAACACAGAAATTGTTCTTTCGGAGGAAGATGTCAAAGTAATCAAACAAAACAAAGGAATTGACATACCATATCAGGTCCACACTATTGGTATATACCTCGTCATTGAGGCAAAGAATGGTCTTGTTCTCATTTGGAATAAGAAGACAACACTCATGATCAAACTGAGCTCCACATTCAAGGTTAGTGAACAGATACACAGGTATTCAGTTGTGTTAATAAGGTATCCACTCTAACCAGTAACTTGATCTCCTTTTCTTTTAGGGGAAAGTCTGTGGACTGTGTGGGAATTACGATGGCAATATAAAAAATGATTTCACCACAAGGAACAAAGAAGTTGTCGTTGAAGCCCTTGAGTTTGGAAACAGCTGGAAAGTGTCACCTACCTGTCCTAATGCCAAAGCACTAAAAAATCCTTGCAGTCTGTACTCACACAGACAGGCATGGGCATTAAAACACTGCAGCATTATCAACAGTAAAGTATTTGCTGTTTGCCATTCAAAGGTAAAAACAAAACAAATAATTGATAGAACAAACACATTCATTACAATCAGTTTAGTACCATTACTGGCACTATATATATATACAGTATATATATATGCTAGCAGAACATTGCATTAACAGAGGTTTCTTTGAAAAGGTGGATCCACAAAACTATTATGATGCTTGTGTGAAAGACACATGTGCCTGCAATACAGGAGGAGATTGTGAATGTTTCTGCTCAAGTGTTGCAGCCTATGCAGCAGCCTGTAATAAGGCCGGGGCATGTATAAAATGGAGAACTCCCACCATCTGCCGTAAGTGTTTTATCTGTGTGTCTGTTAGAAGATGAGAAGAGCATTATTATCATCTATCAGCATAACTTTGTGTTCATTTATTGTAAAATTGACTAGATTTGGTACATGATGAAGTAACCATATTTGAAACCTTTTTTTCTTTAGCTCTATTCTGTGATTTTTACAACCCTGATGGAGAATGTGAATGGCATTATGAACCATGTGGAAAACCATGCATGAAGACATGTAGGAATCCCTCAGGAGAGTGCTACAATCAAATTCCAGAATTAGAAGGTACAAATGTGAGGTCCTGGTTGTCGCTAGTTTGATGACATGAAGTTGGGGCATCGGTGCACAACTCTGTGTAGTTTATCTCTTTCCTTTGTTTAAATGTTAACATATCGTATAAGCAGTAAATGGGTAAGTTTAAACAACATCAGTTTTAGCCATCATTAAACAAAAATGTACACAGCCTACCAGTCTTTGATGTTGAATGCATGGAACATTGGTTCTCGTCAGATTCTGTCCGATACTGTTGACATATGGAAGCGACTAGTGATCAGAATTCAAATGATAAAGCCAATTCGAAAATGAAAATGCATTAACAGAAATCCTTTTTAAGTTTCAGAATATGGGTGTATTATTTGACTCAAAAATAAAATGATGACTCATTTATCTAATTTGCATTTTAGTTTTCAAGTTCAAAAATGCACAAATACATAAATTAAAATGAAGAAGAAAATGACATTTGCTTTTTCATTTTCAAAAAATGCTACGCTAAATTTGTATCATAATTCAAATGAAATTGCTAATTTTAAAATGAAAATGCAGTAACAGAAACGCGTTTTCATTTTCAGAATATAGAAAACCTATTTTTAAAATTAATATTCAGTCATCCAATTTGCATTATACTTTTGTTCTCTATGTATGCATATTGTATGCCATAATTCAAATGAAAACTAAAAGGTCTTTGGCTTTTCTTTTTCAAACTTGCCATGCTAAAAAGTTCTCACAATTCAAACCAACTAGAAAATCACATGGCAAAGTGGACGGCACAGGAAAGTGACGTCAAACTTCAGCTCCCAGGCGGCCGAACGTAATATTTACAGTCTATGAGGCGAGCGGGCAGTACGACGGGTGGCGGGATGAAGCTTTAGTTGAGTTTAGTTCCCACTGTGATACAGGTAGCAATCGGAGTGATTTTTTCAGCGCACACTGAACTTTTCAGCAACTCTAACCAGAGCTGCCAAGTCTCACGCATGAAACCATGCCACTATCTCTGACCGTCAGAGTCACTCAATTAAGAATCTTCATGCCGTCACACTACTCCGATTTCACACAGTGAGATTCATAAATTTCCCCTTTTCTATTTTCCCCCTTTGATATATTGCCTCACTTGTTGCTTGCCGTACTTGGTGCCATATTTTGCCTGTGACTGGCTTACCCAGATAGAACCATGACCAGTGGTTAGTATGTAAACCCTGAGGTCCCTGCCATAGACTGTAAATATTAAGGTCCCGGCACACAGAGAGAGTGCTGATCTGGTGGGGCAGGAGGAGGCAAAAAGTCATGGAATAGCCTACTTTAAAAATGCACAGAGCATCAGGCACAGCAGAGCATTCACAATAATCGCTCAAAATCAACTGAAGAGAACTCCGTAGAATCGCGGTGTCTCTGAGTGACATGTTGACAGTTTTCACTTGAGAAACATAATTCTAAATGATAACGTCACTGCGCAAATTCATACGCTATATTAATAATTAATTTAAAAATCCTCGGGAGTAATTATTAGTAATACTTAGTATTAACAGCAGCTCAAAGAGGTTTTAAACATTTCAAACTTCAACAGCTAACAAACGTCACACTGAAAGTTCAGTCGCTCTGTGCACAAAGTTTCATTGTTTCTCCTCTGTGCGTAATGGCACACACTCTCCCTCTCGACCGTCTGTATGAGCTCTCGCTCCCTTTCAGAGGTTGTTCTGTAGTTATTAAAAGAATAATCAACTAAAACTCCAAAATCAGGGCAACATCTAATTTGGAGCTTGTACCAGCGTTAAAGATTCACCCCGCCACTCATCATACTGCCCTCTCGCCTCATAGACTGTAAATATTACGTTCGCCCGCTTGCCTGGGATCTGAAGTTTGACGTCACTTTCCTGCGCCGTCCACTTTGCCATTTCATTTTCGATTTGGTTTGAATTGTGAAAACGTTTTAGCATGGCAAATGTCATTTGAATTATGGCATACAATATGCATACATAGAGAGCAAAAGTATAATGCAAATTGGATGACTGAATATTGAAAATGAAAACGCTTTTCTTTTACTGCATTTTCATTTTAAAATTAGCAATTTCATTTGAATTATGACACAAATTTCGCGGGGCATTTTTTGAAAATGAAAAAGGAAATGTGATTTTCTTCTTCATATTAATTTAGCCAAAGAATGTGCATTTTTGAAGTTAAAAACTAAAATGCAAGTTAGATAAATGAATCATCATTTTATTTTTGAGTCAAATAATACACCCATATTCTGAAACTGAAAAAGCATCTCTGTTAATGCATTTTCATTTTCGAATTAGCTTTATCATTTGAATTCTGATCACTAGTCGCTTCCATATTGACATGCCTGGAGTTTTTTGAGTTCTTCATTCACTTTGACTGGTTTAGACTAGAAACCTGTACCTGCTTTGTGCTAGTTTTGCTCTTGACTGTGCTTTTCAAATTTTTAAGGCTGTTATCCAAGTTGTCCACCTGAAAGATCTTATTTGGAGGAAGTTACGATGAAGTGTGTACCAAAAGAGGCATGTGGCTGCTATGATAACAATGGCAAGCATTATAAAGAAGGGGAGCTCCTGCCTCAAACAAAAAACTGTTACAAATGGTAAGATGCTTTTTTGAAATTATTGCCACAGGTAGTGTAAAAGTAAATAACAACCTTTATAGAGTTTTTCTGAAAGATGGTATTACAAAATACATTTTCTTACACAGCAATTTTGTTAAGCTATATTAAAGCATACATATCTTGTGTATATTTCAAAACCATTTTATTTTCAATTCCCTTTGAAAAAAATGTTTTATTTGTGCAGTGAGTATGTTAAGGTTTTTTAGAAAAAAGAAAAAGGTTTCTAAGAAGACAGTTAGATGCTTTATTTTCTTGAAATGTGGAAAGGTCACAGTTACATGAGCCCTACTCACGGAGCAGGGAATATGCCAAGCACTCCTTTGTTCATTTTGCTACAAGACTCCAGAAGTATGCAGGGATTTTTGAAATGGAATTCAGTCATATTACCGTATGGTACATCATGGGAAGACTTGTGAGGTACACTGGACCGATTGCCTATTGTCCCACTGGCCTGACATCAAGTTACCAATACACAGAACCAACACAGTTGTAAAAATTACCTGATTGCACCCAAGGAAAACAGCAATTAAAACATCTTAAATTGGGTTTTTTTTTCAACTTCTTATTTGATTTACATTTCAGTTATTGTTCTTCAACAAAGACGAAGTGTGAATATCATGTAAAAGGTAAGCAGAGTACGACTTTAACTGATTTTTAAGTTTAAGAACTTAAAAGTGAATACAATTCGTATATAAAAAAAAAATTAAAAAAATATTCATAAACTTCTGATATAATTCTTCTTTACAGCTTGCACATGCTCATACAAAGGACATATATACAATTATAATGATATAGTATATGACACACATGATGGAGATGGAACGTGTATCACTGCTGTTTGCAGTGAAAATGGGAACATTACAAGAATCTTTAGACCTTGCACTACAACTTCACCCACAACCACACAGGCATCAACAACAACAGCCTTTGATTTTGAAACAACAACTGCTAAATCCACAACAGCCAAAAAAGAGCCCATCACAAGCACTACACTCACAGAGAAACCCACCACAACAACCACAAAGGCCCCCTCCACAACACCAACCAAAGGAACCATAACTTCTGTGACAGAAAAATCAACCACAACCGCAGAAAGACCAACAACAACAGCAGCGGTCACAGAAAAGTCCACCACAACAACAAGTGGAGAGCCCAGTACCCCTGCAACTACAGAAAAACCTAGCACCACAACAACTGCTAAATCCACAACAACCATAAAAGAGCCCATCACAACCACTACGCTCACAGAGAAACCCACCACAACAGTCGCAGAGAAGCCCAGCACTACTGCTGCTACAACCACAAAGAAATCCTCCACAACATCTGCAAACTGCTTTCGTTGTTCTTGGTCAGTTTGGACCGACAGTCATTACCCTGAGGACAGCAGTGACGGTGGAGAGTATGAGCCTATTGACAAAATTACGAATCCAGATCTGAGTACTTGCAGTGAACCTCTGAAAATAGAGTGTAGATCAAAAGACCATAAAGATACACCCTTGAATCAAATTGGTCAGAAATTAACATGCAACCCAGAAGTTGGACTGAGATGTAACAATAAAGATCAAGGTTTTGCTCCTCCATGTTATGACTATGAAATACGAGTCCAATGTTGCATCAACATTTGTGCACCATCAACCACAAAGGCCCCCTCCACAACACCAACCAAAGGAACCATACCTTCAACCACTACAACATCTGGACCAACAGAAAAAATTGGCACCACCTCTGGTGCCGTCACAGAAAATCCAACGACAACCACGCTCACAGAAGAGCCCACCACAACAACCACAACCACAGAAAAACCTGTAACAAGCACTGCTGGAACAACTCCAAAACCCACTGAAACAACACCTGAAGTTGTAACACATACAGTGGTCACAACAGTACAATCAACGAGCTCTGTTGTCATTCCTACAACTACTGCAACCACAGAGAAGACCACAACAACAGCCACAGAGAAGACCAGCACTACTGCAGCCACAACCACAGAACAACCCACAGTGACAGAAGAATCAACCACAATCTCAGAAAAACCCACAGCCACCACAACAGCCACAGAAAAGCCCAGTTCTACTGCCTCTCCAACCACAGAACAACCCACAGTGACAGAAAAATCAACCACAACCGCAGAAAGACCAACAACAACAGCAGCGGTCACAGAAAAGTCCACCACAACAACAAGTGGAGAGCCCAGTACCCCTGCAACTACAGAAAAACCTAGCACCACAACAACTGCTAAATCCACAACAACCATAAAAGAGCCCATCACAACCACTACGCTCACAGAGAAACCCACCACAACAGTCGCAGAGAAGCCCAGCACTACTGCTGCTACAACCACAAAGAAATCCTCCACAACATCTGCAAACTGCTTTCGTTGTTCTTGGTCAGTTTGGACCGACAGTCATTACCCTGAGGACAGCAGTGACGGTGGAGAGTATGAGCCTATTGACAAAATTACGAATCCAGATCTGAGTACTTGCAGTGAACCTCTGAAAATAGAGTGTAGATCAAAAGACCATAAAGATACACCCTTGAATCAAATTGGTCAGAAATTAACATGCAACCCAGAAGTTGGACTGAGATGTAAAATAAAGATCAAGGTTTTGCTCCTCCATGTTATGACTATGAAATACGAGTCCAATGTTGCATCAACATTTGTGCACCATCAACCACAAAGGCCCCCTCCACAACACCAACCAAAGGAACCATACCTTCAACCACTACAACATCTGGATCAACAGAAAAAATTGGCACCACCTCTGGTGCCGTCACAGAAAATCCAACGACAACCACGCTCACAGAAGAGCCCACCACAACAACCACAACCACAGAAAAACCTGTAACAAGCACTGCTGGAACAACTCCAAAACCCACTGAAACAACACCTGAAGTTGTAACACATACAGTGGTCACAACAGTACAATCAACGAGCTCTGTTGTCGTTCCTACAACTACTGCAACCACAGAGAAGACCACAACAACAGCCACAGAGAAGACCAGCACTACTGCAGCCACAACCACAGAACAACCCACAGTGACAGAAGAATCAACCACAATCTCAGAAAAACCCACAGCCACCACAACAGCCACAGAAAAGCCCAGTTCTACTGCCTCTCCAACCACAGAACAACCCACAGTGACAGAAAAATCAACCACAACCGCAGAAAGACCAACAACAACAGCAGCGGTCACAGAAAAGTCCACCACAACAACAAGTGGAGAGCCCAGTACCCTGCAACTACAGAAAAACCTAGCACCACAACAACTGCTAAATCCACAACAACCATAAAAGAGCCCATCACAACCACTACACTCACAGAGAAACCCACCACAACAGTCGCAGAGAAGCCCAGCACTACTGCTGCTACAACCACAAAGAAATCCTCCACAACATCTGCAAACTGCTTTCGTTGTTCTTGGTCAGTTTGGACCGACAGTCATTACCCTGAGGACGGCAGTGACGGTGGAGAGTATGAGCCTATTGACAAAATTACGAATCCAGATCTGAGTACTTGCAGTGAACCTCTGAAAATAGAGTGTAGATCAAAAGACCATAAAGATACACCCTTGAATCAAATTGGTCAGAAATTAACATGCAACCCAGAAGTTGGACTGAGATGTAACAATAAAGATCAAGGTTTTGCTCCTCCATGTTATGACTATGAAATACGAGTCCAATGTTGCATCAACATTTGTGCACCATCAACCACAAAGGCCCCCTCCACAACACCAACCAAAGGAACCATACCTTCAGCCACTACAACATCTGGATCAACAGAAAAAATTGGCACCACCTCTGGTGCCGTCACAGAAAATCCAACGACAACCACGCTCACAGAAGAGCCCACCACAACAACCACAACCACAGAAAAACCTGTAACAAGCACTGCTGGAACAACTCCAAAACCCACTGAAACAACACCTGAAGTTGTAACACATACAGTGGTCACAACAGTACAATCAACGAGCTCTGTTGTCGTTCCTACAACTACTGCAACCACAGAGAAGACCACAACAACAGCCACAGAGAAGACCAGCACTACTGCAGCCACAACCACAGAACAACCCACAGTGACAGAAGAATCAACCACAATCTCAGAAAAACCCACAGCCACCACAACAGCCACAGAAAAGCCCAGTTCTACTGCCTCTCCAACCACAGAACAACCCACAGTGACAGAAAAATCAACCACAACCGCAGAAAGACCAACAACAACAGCAGCGGTCACAGAAAAGTCCACCACAACAACAAGTGGAGAGCCCAGTACCCCTGCAACTACAGAAAAACCTAGCACCACAACAACTGCTAAATCCACAACAACCATAAAAGAGCCCATCACAACCACTACACTCACAGAGAAACCCACCACAACAGTCGCAGAGAAGCCCAGCACTACTGCTGCTACAACCACAAAGAAATCCTCCACAACATCTGCAAACTGCTTTCGTTGTTCTTGGTCAGTTTGGACGACAGTCATTACCCTGAGGACGGCAGTGACGGTGGAGAGTATGAGCCTATTGACAAAATTACGAATCCAGATCTGAGTACTTGCAGTGAACCTCTGAAAATAGAGTGTAGATCAAAAGACCATAAAGATACACCCTTGAATCAAATTGGTCAGAAATTAACATGCAACCCAGAAGTTGGACTGAGATGTAACAATAAAGATCAAGGTTTTGCTCCTCCATGTTATGACTATGAAATACGAGTCCAATGTTGCATCAACATTTGTGCACCATCAACCACAAAGGCCCCCTCCACAACACCAACCAAAGGAACCATACCTTCAGCCACTACAACATCTGGATCAACAGAAAAAATTGGCACCACCTCTGGTGCCGTCACAGAAAATCCAACGACAACCACGCTCACAGAAGAGCCCACCACAACAACCACAACCACAGAAAAACCTGTAACAAGCACTGCTGGAACAACTCCAAAACCCACTGAAACAACACCTGAAGTTGTAACACATACAGTGGTCACAACAGTACAATCAACGAGCTCTGTTGTCGTTCCTACAACTACTGCAACCACAGAGAAGACCACAACAACAGCCACAGAGAAGACCAGCACTACTGCAGCCACAACCACAGAACAACCCACAGTGACAGAAGAATCAACCACAATCTCAGAAAAACCCACAGCCACCACAACAGCCACAGAAAAGCCCAGTTCTACTGCCTCTCCAACCACAGAACAACCCACAGTGACAGAAAAATCAACCACAACCGCAGAAAGACCAACAACAACAGCAGCGGTCACAGAAAAGTCCACCACAACAACAAGTGGAGAGCCCAGTACCCCTGCAACTACAGAAAAACCTAGCACCACAACAACTGCTAAATCCACAACAACCATAAAAGAGCCCATCACAACCACTACACTCACAGAGAAACCCACCACAACAGTCGCAGAGAAGCCCAGCACTACTGCTGCTACAACCACAAAGAAATCCTCCACAACATCTGCAAACTGCTTTCGTTGTTCTTGGTCAGTTTGGACCGACAGTCATTACCCTGAGGACGCAGTGACGGTGGAGAGTATGAGCCTATTGACAAAATTACGAATCCAGATCTGAGTACTTGCAGTGAACCTCTGAAAATAGAGTGTAGATCAAAAGACCATAAAGATACACCCTTGAATCAAATTGGTCAGAAATTAACATGCAACCCAGAAGTTGGACTGAGATGTAACAATAAAGATCAAGGTTTTGCTCCTCCATGTTATGACTATGAAATACGAGTCCAATGTTGCATCAACATTTGTGCACCATCAACCACAAAGGCCCCCTCCACAACACCAACCAAAGGAACCATACCTTCAGCCACTACAACATCTGGATCAACAGAAAAAATTGGCACCACCTCTGGTGCCGTCACAGAAAATCCAACGACAACCACGCTCACAGAAGAGCCCACCACAACAACCACAACCACAGAAAAACCTGTAACAAGCACTGCTGGAACAACTCCAAAACCCACTGAAACAACACCTGAAGTTGTAACACATACAGTGGTCACAACAGTACAATCAACGAGCTCTGTTGTCGTTCCTACAACTACTGCAACCACAGAGAAGACCACAACAACAGCCACAGAGAAGACCAGCACTACTGCAGCCACAACCACAGAACAACCCACAGTGACAGAAGAATCAACCACAATCTCAGAAAAACCCACAGCCACCACAACAGCCACAGAAAAGCCCAGTTCTACTGCCTCTCCAACCACAGAACAACCCACAGTGACAGAAAAATCAACCACAACCGCAGAAAGACCAACAACAACAGCAGCGGTCACAGAAAAGTCCACCACAACAACAAGTGGAGAGCCCAGTACCCCTGCAACTACAGAAAAACCTAGCACCACAACAACTGCTAAATCCACAACAACCATAAAAGAGCCCATCACAACCACTACACTCACAGAGAAACCCACCACAACAGTCGCAGAGAAGCCCAGCACTACTGCTGCTACAACCACAAAGAAATCCTCCACAACATCTGCAAACTGCTTTCGTTGTTCTTGGTCAGTTTGGACCGACAGTCATTACCCTGAGGACGGCAGTGACGGTGGAGAGTATGAGCCTATTGACAAAATTACGAATCCAGATCTGAGTACTTGCAGTGAACCTCTGAAAATAGAGTGTAGATCAAAAGACCATAAAGATACACCCTTGAATCAAATTGGTCAGAAATTAACATGCAACCCAGAAGTTGGACTGAGATGTAACAATAAAGATCAAGGTTTTGCTCCTCCATGTTATGACTATGAAATACGAGTCCAATGTTGCATCAACATTTGTGCACCATCAACCACAAAGGCCCCCTCCACAACACCAACCAAAGGAACCATACCTTCAGCCACTACAACATCTGGATCAACAGAAAAAATTGGCACCACCTCTGGTGCCGTCACAGAAAATCCAACGACAACCACGCTCACAGAAGAGCCCACCACAACAACCACAACCACAGAAAAACCTGTAACAAGCACTGCTGGAACAACTCCAAAACCCACTGAAACAACACCTGAAGTTGTAACACATACAGTGGTCACAACAGTACAATCAACGAGCTCTGTTGTCGTTCCTACAACTACTGCAACCACAGAGAAGACCACAACAACAGCCACAGAGAAGACCAGCACTACTGCAGCCACAACCACAGAACAACCCACAGTGACAGAAGAATCAACCACAATCTCAGAAAAACCCACAGCCACCACAACAGCCACAGAAAAGCCCAGTTCTACTGCCTCTCCAACCACAGAACAACCCACAGTGACAGAAAAATCAACCACAACCGCAGAAAGACCAACAACAACAGCAGCGGTCACAGAAAAGTCCACCACAACAACAAGTGGAGAGCCCAGTACCCCTGCAACTACAGAAAAACCTAGCACCACAACAACTGCTAAATCCACAACAACCATAAAAGAGCCCATCACAACCACTACACTCACAGAGAAACCCACCACAACAGTCGCAGAGAAGCCCAGCACTACTGCTGCTACAACCACAAAGAAATCCTCCACAACATCTGCAAACTGCTTTCGTTGTTCTTGGTCAGTTTGGACCGACAGTCATTACCCTGAGGACGGCAGTGACGGTGGAGAGTATGAGCCTATTGACAAAATTACGAATCCAGATCTGAGTACTTGCAGTGAACCTCTGAAAATAGAGTGTAGATCAAAAGACCATAAAGATACACCCTTGAATCAAATTGGTCAGAAATTAACATGCAACCCAGAAGTTGGACTGAGATGTAACAATAAAGATCAAGGTTTTGCTCCTCCATGTTATGACTATGAAATACGAGTCCAATGTTGCATCAACATTTGTGCACCATCAACCACAAAGGCCCCCTCCACAACACCAACCAAAGGAACCATACCTTCAGCCACTACAACATCTGGATCAACAGAAAAAATTGGCACCACCTCTGGTGCCGTCACAGAAAATCCAACGACAACCACGCTCACAGAAGAGCCCACCACAACAACCACAACCACAGAAAAACCTGTAACAAGCACTGCTGGAACAACTCCAAAACCCACTGAAACAACACCTGAAGTTGTAACACATACAGTGGTCACAACAGTACAATCAACGAGCTCTGTTGTCGTTCCTACAACTACTGCAACCACAGAGAAGACCACAACAACAGCCACAGAGAAGACCAGCACTACTGCAGCCACAACCACAGAACAACCCACAGTGACAGAAGAATCAACCACAATCTCAGAAAAACCCACAGCCACCACAACAGCCACAGAAAAGCCCAGTTCTACTGCCTCTCCAACCACAGAACAACCCACAGTGACAGAAAAATCAACCACAACCGCAGAAAGACCAACAACAACAGCAGCGGTCACAGAAAAGTCCACCACAACAACAAGTGGAGAGCCCAGTACCCCTGCAACTACAGAAAAACCTAGCACCACAACAACTGCTAAATCCACAACAACCATAAAAGAGCCCATCACAACCACTACACTCACAGAGAAACCCACCACAACAGTCGCAGAGAAGCCCAGCACTACTGCTGCTACAACCACAAAGAAATCCTCCACAACATCTGCAAACTGCTTTCGTTGTTCTTGGTCAGTTTGGACCGACAGTCATTACCCTGAGGACGGCAGTGACGGTGGAGAGTATGAGCCTATTGACAAAATTACGAATCCAGATCTGAGTACTTGCAGTGAACCTCTGAAAATAGAGTGTAGATCAAAAGACCATAAAGATACACCCTTGAATCAAATTGGTCAGAAATTAACATGCAACCCAGAAGTTGGACTGAGATGTAACAATAAAGATCAAGGTTTTGCTCCTCCATGTTATGACTATGAAATACGAGTCCAATGTTGCATCAACATTTGTGCACCATCAACCACAAAGGCCCCCTCCACAACACCAACCAAAGGAACCATACCTTCAGCCACTACAACATCTGGATCAACAGAAAAAATTGGCACCACCTCTGGTGCCGTCACAGAAAATCCAACGACAACCACGCTCACAGAAGAGCCCACCACAACAACCACAACCACAGAAAAACCTGTAACAAGCACTGCTGGAACAACTCCAAAACCCACTGAAACAACACCTGAAGTTGTAACACATACAGTGGTCACAACAGTACAATCAACGAGCTCTGTTGTCGTTCCTACAACTACTGCAACCACAGAGAAGACCACAACAACAGCCACAGAGAAGACCAGCACTACTGCAGCCACAACCACAGAACAACCCACAGTGACAGAAGAATCAACCACAATCTCAGAAAAACCCACAGCCACCACAACAGCCACAGAAAAGCCCAGTTCTACTGCCTCTCCAACCACAGAACAACCCACAGTGACAGAAAAATCAACCACAACCGCAGAAAGACCAACAACAACAGCAGCGGTCACAGAAAAGTCCACCACAACAACAAGTGGAGAGCCCAGTACCCCTGCAACTACAGAAAAACCTAGCACCACAACAACTGCTAAATCCACAACAACCATAAAAGAGCCCATCACAACCACTACACTCACAGAGAAACCCACCACAACAGTCGCAGAGAAGCCCAGCACTACTGCTGCTACAACCACAAAGAAATCCTCCACAACATCTGCAAACTGCTTTCGTTGTTCTTGGTCAGTTTGGACCGACAGTCATTACCCTGAGGACGGCAGTGACGGTGGAGAGTATGAGCCTATTGACAAAATTACGAATCCAGATCTGAGTACTTGCAGTGAACCTCTGAAAATAGAGTGTAGATCAAAAGACCATAAAGATACACCCTTGAATCAAATTGGTCAGAAATTAACATGCAACCCAGAAGTTGGACTGAGATGTAACAATAAAGATCAAGGTTTTGCTCCTCCATGTTATGACTATGAAATACGAGTCCAATGTTGCATCAACATTTGTGCACCATCAACCACAAAGGCCCCCTCCACAACACCAACCAAAGGAACCATACCTTCAGCCACTACAACATCTGGATCAACAGAAAAAATTGGCACCACCTCTGGTGCCGTCACAGAAAATCCAACGACAACCACGCTCACAGAAGAGCCCACCACAACAACCACAACCACAGAAAAACCTGTAACAAGCACTGCTGGAACAACTCCAAAACCCACTGAAACAACACCTGAAGTTGTAACACATACAGTGGTCACAACAGTACAATCAACGAGCTCTGTTGTCGTTCCTACAACTACTGCAACCACAGAGAAGACCACAACAACAGCCACAGAGAAGACCAGCACTACTGCAGCCACAACCACAGAACAACCCACAGTGACAGAAGAATCAACCACAATCTCAGAAAAACCCACAGCCACCACAACAGCCACAGAAAAGCCCAGTTCTACTGCCTCTCCAACCACAGAACAACCCACAGTGACAGAAAAATCAACCACAACCGCAGAAAGACCAACAACAACAGCAGCGGTCACAGAAAAGTCCACCACAACAACAAGTGGAGAGCCCAGTACCCCTGCAACTACAGAAAAACCTAGCACCACAACAACTGCTAAATCCACAACAACCATAAAAGAGCCCATCACAACCACTACACTCACAGAGAAACCCACCACAACAGTCGCAGAGAAGCCCAGCACTACTGCTGCTACAACCACAAAGAAATCCTCCACAACATCTGCAAACTGCTTTCGTTGTTCTTGGTCAGTTTGGACCGACAGTCATTACCCTGAGGACGGCAGTGACGGTGGAGAGTATGAGCCTATTGACAAAATTACGAATCCAGATCTGAGTACTTGCAGTGAACCTCTGAAAATAGAGTGTAGATCAAAAGACCATAAAGATACACCCTTGAATCAAATTGGTCAGAAATTAACATGCAACCCAGAAGTTGGACTGAGATGTAACAATAAAGATCAAGGTTTTGCTCCTCCATGTTATGACTATGAAATACGAGTCCAATGTTGCATCAACATTTGTGCACCATCAACCACAAAGGCCCCCTCCACAACACCAACCAAAGGAACCATACCTTCAGCCACTACAACATCTGGATCAACAGAAAAAATTGGCACCACCTCTGGTGCCGTCACAGAAAATCCAACGACAACCACGCTCACAGAAGAGCCCACCACAACAACCACAACCACAGAAAAACCTGTAACAAGCACTGCTGGAACAACTCCAAAACCCACTGAAACAACACCTGAAGTTGTAACACATACAGTGGTCACAACAGTACAATCAACGAGCTCTGTTGTCGTTCCTACAACTACTGCAACCACAGAGAAGACCACAACAACAGCCACAGAGAAGACCAGCACTACTGCAGCCACAACCACAGAACAACCCACAGTGACAGAAGAATCAACCACAATCTCAGAAAAACCCACAGCCACCACAACAGCCACAGAAAAGCCCAGTTCTACTGCCTCTCCAACCACAGAACAACCCACAGTGACAGAAAAATCAACCACAACCGCAGAAAGACCAACAACAACAGCAGCGGTCACAGAAAAGTCCACCACAACAACAAGTGGAGAGCCCAGTACCCCTGCAACTACAGAAAAACCTAGCACCACAACAACTGCTAAATCCACAACAACCATAAAAGAGCCCATCACAACCACTACACTCACAGAGAAACCCACCACAACAGTCGCAGAGAAGCCCAGCACTACTGCTGCTACAACCACAAAGAAATCCTCCACAACATCTGCAAACTGCTTTCGTTGTTCTTGGTCAGTTTGGACCGACAGTCATTACCCTGAGGACGGCAGTGACGGTGGAGAGTATGAGCCTATTGACAAAATTACGAATCCAGATCTGAGTACTTGCAGTGAACCTCTGAAAATAGAGTGTAGATCAAAAGACCATAAAGATACACCCTTGAATCAAATTGGTCAGAAATTAACATGCAACCCAGAAGTTGGACTGAGATGTAACAATAAAGATCAAGGTTTTGCTCCTCCATGTTATGACTATGAAATACGAGTCCAATGTTGCATCAACATTTGTGCACCATCAACCACAAAGGCCCCCTCCACAACACCAACCAAAGGAACCATACCTTCAGCCACTACAACATCTGGATCAACAGAAAAAATTGGCACCACCTCTGGTGCCGTCACAGAAAATCCAACGACAACCACGCTCACAGAAGAGCCCACCACAACAACCACAACCACAGAAAAACCTGTAACAAGCACTGCTGGAACAACTCCAAAACCCACTGAAACAACACCTGAAGTTGTAACACATACAGTGGTCACAACAGTACAATCAACGAGCTCTGTTGTCGTTCCTACAACTACTGCAACCACAGAGAAGACCACAACAACAGCCACAGAGAAGACCAGCACTACTGCAGCCACAACCACAGAACAACCCACAGTGACAGAAGAATCAACCACAATCTCAGAAAAACCCACAGCCACCACAACAGCCACAGAAAAGCCCAGTTCTACTGCCTCTCCAACCACAGAACAACCCACAGTGACAGAAAAATCAACCACAACCGCAGAAAGACCAACAACAACAGCAGCGGTCACAGAAAAGTCCACCACAACAACAAGTGGAGAGCCCAGTACCCCTGCAACTACAGAAAAACCTAGCACCACAACAACTGCTAAATCCACAACAACCATAAAAGAGCCCATCACAACCACTACACTCACAGAGAAACCCACCACAACAGTCGCAGAGAAGCCCAGCACTACTGCTGCTACAACCACAAAGAAATCCTCCACAACATCTGCAAACTGCTTTCGTTGTTCTTGGTCAGTTTGGACCGACAGTCATTACCCTGAGGACGGCAGTGACGGTGGAGAGTATGAGCCTATTGACAAAATTACGAATCCAGATCTGAGTACTTGCAGTGAACCTCTGAAAATAGAGTGTAGATCAAAAGACCATAAAGATACACCCTTGAATCAAATTGGTCAGAAATTAACATGCAACCCAGAAGTTGGACTGAGATGTAACAATAAAGATCAAGGTTTTGCTCCTCCATGTTATGACTATGAAATACGAGTCCAATGTTGCATCAACATTTGTGCACCATCAACCACAAAGGCCCCCTCCACAACACCAACCAAAGGAACCATACCTTCACCACTACAACATCTGGATCAACAGAAAAAATTGGCACCACCTCTGGTGCCGTCACAGAAAATCCAACGACAACCACGCTCACAGAAGAGCCCACCACAACAACCACAACCACAGAAAAACCTGTAACAAGCACTGCTGGAACAACTCCAAAACCCACTGAAACAACACCTGAAGTTGTAACACATACAGTGGTCACAACAGTACAATCAACGAGCTCTGTTGTCGTTCCTACAACTACTGCAACCACAGAGAAGACCACAACAACAGCCACAGAGAAGACCAGCACTACTGCAGCCACAACCACAGAACAACCCACAGTGACAGAAGAATCAACCACAATCTCAGAAAAACCCACAGCCACCACAACAGCCACAGAAAAGCCCAGTTCTACTGCCTCTCCAACCACAGAACAACCCACAGTGACAGAAAAATCAACCACAACCGCAGAAAGACCAACAACAACAGCAGCGGTCACAGAAAAGTCCACCACAACAACAAGTGGAGAGCCCAGTACCCCTGCAACTACAGAAAAACCTAGCACCACAACAACTGCTAAATCCACAACAACCATAAAAGAGCCCATCACAACCACTACACTCACAGAGAAACCCACCACAACAGTCGCAGAGAAGCCCAGCACTACTGCTGCTACAACCACAAAGAAATCCTCCACAACATCTGCAAACTGCTTTCGTTGTTCTTGGTCAGTTTGGACCGACAGTCATTACCCTGAGGACGGCAGTGACGGTGGAGAGTATGAGCCTATTGACAAAATTACGAATCCAGATCTGAGTACTTGCAGTGAACCTCTGAAAATAGAGTGTAGATCAAAAGACCATAAAGATACACCCTTGAATCAAATTGGTCAGAAATTAACATGCAACCCAGAAGTTGGACTGAGATGTAACAATAAAGATCAAGGTTTTGCTCCTCCATGTTATGACTATGAAATACGAGTCCAATGTTGCATCAACATTTGTGCACCATCAACCACAAAGGCCCCCTCCACAACACCAACCAAAGGAACCATACCTTCAGCCACTACAACATCTGGATCAACAGAAAAAATTGGCACCACCTCTGGTGCCGTCACAGAAAATCCAACGACAACCACGCTCACAGAAGAGCCCACCACAACAACCACAACCACAGAAAAACCTGTAACAAGCACTGCTGGAACAACTCCAAAACCCACTGAAACAACACCTGAAGTTGTAACACATACAGTGGTCACAACAGTACAATCAACGAGCTCTGTTGTCGTTCCTACAACTACTGCAACCACAGAGAAGACCACAACAACAGCCACAGAGAAGACCAGCACTACTGCAGCCACAACCACAGAACAACCCACAGTGACAGAAGAATCAACCACAATCTCAGAAAAACCCACAGCCACCACAACAGCCACAGAAAAGCCCAGTTCTACTGCCTCTCCAACCACAGAACAACCCACAGTGACAGAAAAATCAACCACAACCGCAGAAAGACCAACAACAACAGCAGCGGTCACAGAAAAGTCCACCACAACAACAAGTGGAGAGCCCAGTACCCCTGCAACTACAGAAAAACCTAGCACCACAACAACTGCTAAATCCACAACAACCATAAAAGAGCCCATCACAACCACTACACTCACAGAGAAACCCACCACAACAGTCGCAGAGAAGCCCAGCACTACTGCTGCTACAACCACAAAGAAATCCTCCACAACATCTGCAAACTGCTTTCGTTGTTCTTGGTCAGTTTGGACCGACAGTCATTACCCTGAGGACGGCAGTGACGGTGGAGAGTATGAGCCTATTGACAAAATTACGAATCCAGATCTGAGTACTTGCAGTGAACCTCTGAAAATAGAGTGTAGATCAAAAGACCATAAAGATACACCCTTGAATCAAATTGGTCAGAAATTAACATGCAACCCAGAAGTTGGACTGAGATGTAACAATAAAGATCAAGGTTTTGCTCCTCCATGTTATGACTATGAAATACGAGTCCAATGTTGCATCAACATTTGTGCACCATCAACCACAAAGGCCCCCTCCACAACACCAACCAAAGGAACCATACCTTCAGCCACTACAACATCTGGATCAACAGAAAAAATTGGCACCACCTCTGGTGCCGTCACAGAAAATCCAACGACAACCACGCTCACAGAAGAGCCCCACCACAACAACCACAACCACAGAAAAACCTGTAACAAGCACTGCTGGAACAACTCCAAAACCCACTGAAACAACACCTGAAGTTGTAACACATACAGTGGTCACAACAGTACAATCAACGAGCTCTGTTGTCGTTCCTACAACTACTGCAACCACAGAGAAGACCACAACAACAGCCACAGAGAAGACCAGCACTACTGCAGCCACAACCACAGAACAACCCACAGTGACAGAAGAATCAACCACAATCTCAGAAAAACCCACAGCCACCACAACAGCCACAGAAAAGCCCAGTTCTACTGCCTCTCCAACCACAGAACAACCCACAGTGACAGAAAAATCAACCACAACCGCAGAAAGACCAACAACAACAGCAGCGGTCACAGAAAAGTCCACCACAACAACAAGTGGAGAGCCCAGTACCCCTGCAACTACAGAAAAACCTAGCACCACAACAACTGCTAAATCCACAACAACCATAAAAGAGCCCATCACAACCACTACGCTCACAGAGAAACCCACCACAACAGTCGCAGAGAAGCCCAGCACTACTGCTGCTACAACCACAAAGAAATCCTCCACAACATCTGCAAACTGCTTTCGTTGTTCTTGGTCAGTTTGGACCGACAGTCATTACCCTGAGGACAGCAGTGACGGTGGAGAGTATGAGCCTATTGACAAAATTACGAATCCAGATCTGAGTACTTGCAGTGAACCTCTGAAAATAGAGTGTAGATCAAAAGACCATAAAGATACACCCTTGAATCAAATTGGTCAGAAATTAACATGCAACCCAGAAGTTGGACTGAGATGTAACAATAAAGATCAAGGTTTTGCTCCTCCATGTTATGACTATGAAATACGAGTCCAATGTTGCATCAACATTTGTGCACCATCAACCACAAAGGCCCCCTCCACAACACCAACCAAAGGAACCATACCTTCAGCCACTACAACATCTGGATCAACAGAAAAAATTGGCACCACCTCTGGTGCCGTCACAGAAAATCCAACGACAACCACGCTCACAGAAGAGCCCACCACAACAACCACAACCACAGAAAAACCTGTAACAAGCACTGCTGGAACAACTCCAAAACCCACTGAAACAACACCTGAAGTTGTAACACATACAGTGGTCACAACAGTACAATCAACGAGCTCTGTTGTCGTTCCTACAACTACTGCAACCACAGAGAAGACCACAACAACAGCCACAGAGAAGACCAGCACTACTGCAGCCACAACCACAGAACAACCCACAGTGACAGAAGAATCAACCACAATCTCAGAAAAACCCACAGCCACCACAACAGCCACAGAAAAGCCCAGTTCTACTGCCTCTCCAACCACAGAACAACCCACAGTGACAGAAAAATCAACCACAACCGCAGAAAGACCAACAACAACAGCAGCGGTCACAGAAAAGTCCACCACAACAACAAGTGGAGAGCCCAGTACCCCTGCAACTACAGAAAAACCTAGCACCACAACAACTGCTAAATCCACAACAACCATAAAAGAGCCCATCACAACCACTACGCTCACAGAGAAACCCACCACAACAGTCGCAGAGAAGCCCAGCACTACTGCTGCTACAACCACAAAGAAATCCTCCACAACATCTGCAAACTGCTTTCGTTGTTCTTGGTCAGTTTGGACCGACAGTCATTACCCTGAGGACAGCAGTGACGGTGGAGAGTATGAGCCTATTGACAAAATTACGAATCCAGATCTGAGTACTTGCAGTGAACCTCTGAAAATAGAGTGTAGATCAAAAGACCATAAAGATACACCCTTGAATCAAATTGGTCAGAAATTAACATGCAACCCAGAAGTTGGACTGAGATGTAACAATAAAGATCAAGGTTTTGCTCCTCCATGTTATGACTATGAAATACGAGTCCAATGTTGCATCAACATTTGTGCACCATCAACCACAAAGGCCCCCTCCACAACACCAACCAAAGGAACCATACCTTCACCACTACAACATCTGGATCAACAGAAAAAATTGGCACCACCTCTGGTGCCGTCACAGAAAATCCAACGACAACCACGCTCACAGAAGAGCCCACCACAACAACCACAACCACAGAAAAACCTGTAACAAGCACTGCTGGAACAACTCCAAAACCCACTGAAACAACACCTGAAGTTGTAACACATACAGTGGTCACAACAGTACAATCAACGAGCTCTGTTGTCGTTCCTACAACTACTGCAACCACAGAGAAGACCACAACAACAGCCACAGAGAAGACCAGCACTACTGCAGCCACAACCACAGAACAACCCACAGTGACAGAAGAATCAACCACAATCTCAGAAAAACCCACAGCCACCACAACAGCCACAGAAAAGCCCAGTTCTACTGCCTCTCCAACCACAGAACAACCCACAGTGACAGAAAAATCAACCACAACCGCAGAAAGACCAACAACAACAGCAGCGGTCACAGAAAAGTCCACCACAACAACAAGTGGAGAGCCCAGTACCCCTGCAACTACAGAAAAACCTAGCACCACAACAACTGCTAAATCCACAACAACCATAAAAGAGCCCATCACAACCACTACACTCACAGAGAAACCCACCACAACAGTCGCAGAGAAGCCCAGCACTACTGCTGCTACAACCACAAAGAAATCCTCCACAACATCTGCAAACTGCTTTCGTTGTTCTTGGTCAGTTTGGACCGACAGTCATTACCCTGAGGACGGCAGTGACGGTGGAGAGTATGAGCCTATTGACAAAATTACGAATCCAGATCTGAGTACTTGCAGTGAACCTCTGAAAATAGAGTGTAGATCAAAAGACCATAAAGATACACCCTTGAATCAAATTGGTCAAAAATTAACATGCAACCCAGAAGTTGGACTGAGATGTAACAATAAAGATCAAGGTTTTGCTCCTCCATGTTATGACTATGAAATACGAGTCCAATGTTGCATCAACATTTGTGCACCATCAACCACAAAGGCCCCCTCCACAACACCAACCAAAGGAACCATACCTTCAACCACTACAACATCTGGATCAACAGAAAAAATTGGCACCACCTCTGGTGCCGTCACAGAAAATCCAACGACAACCACGCTCACAGAAGAGCCCACCACCACAACAACCACAACCACAGAAAAACCTGTAACAAGCACTGCTGGAACAACTCCAAAACCAACTAAAACAACACCTGAAGTTGTAACACATACAGTGGTCACAACAGTACGATCAGCGAGCCATGTTGTCGTTACTACAACAACTGCAACCACAGAGAAGACCACAACAACAGCCACAGAGAAGACCAGCACTACTGCAGCCACAACCACAGAACAACCCACAGTGACAGAAGAATCAACCACAATCTCAGAAAAACCCACAGCCACCACAACAGCCACAGAAAAGCCCAGTTCTACTGCCTCTCCAACCACAGAACAACCCACAGTGACAGAAAAATCAACCACAACCGCAGAAAGACCAACAACAACAGCAGCGGTCACAGAAAAGTCCACCACAACAACAAGTGGAGAGCCCAGTACCCCTGCAACTACAGAAAAACCTAGCACCACAACAACTGCTAAATCCACAACAACCATAAAAGAGCCCAGTTCTACTGCCTCTCAAACCACAGAACAACCCACAGTGACAGAAAAATCCACAACAATGCATTCAACAACTATGTGTTTCTGCACGTATAGGGATGCAGTTTTCTCTCCCGGTAAGCAGTTTATTGTTGTTAACAAATATTGTTTATATTGTTTATATTAACATTTATGACACAGCAACTGCATATCCCATGTAGCTTGAGACGCTAGTTCGCAACAGGCTTTCTTAACTCCTCTAACGTCCAGTGTTTTTGCTCTGGGATCAGTTTAACTCCTCTTTCTATTCTCGTTTTTTTCCTCTTTCTACCGTAATCCAAAAACTTAGATGGCCCTCATATATCCTAAGTGATGTAAATACTGTATATTTTGTTTTTCTGATCTCAACAACACTTTTGGTTTTAAGCTCTTCATAAAAGTGATTTTTCACAAGTGACTCAACGTGGTTTGACATGGCCTAAAACCATGAATGATCATTTACTAACTGGCATGTTTAGTTATCAATTCCCTACTGGTGACACAAAAATGTGTCCATTGGTTCCATATTCATTCAAGAATAGAAAGATACTGAATCTCAGTGTAGATCTTCTAACAGAGTCTTGATTTTCACAAAAGCTGCATGATGAAGATATTGTTTCATTGTAACCCAGATCTTTATCTTTTTTTCACATCTTAATCACTTTGGTTTCATCGCCCTCATTTTGTTGATTTTTTTTTTTTTTGCTGATAAAGGAAGCCTCATCTACAATAAAACAGATGAAGATGGCTGGTGTTTTACTGCATATTGCAATTTGAACTGCAATGTTGAGAAGCAGGACAGACTGTGTCAATCCACTACCACACCAAATCCAAGCATCAGCACCACAAGCTCTGGCATTACAACACAAACGGGCTCAACATCTGCCGGAAAAGTAACAACAGTGAACTTCACGGACTGCTCATATCTCAATCCACCAAGACAGGTATTTAATCTCAGTCTTATAAATGTGTCCTCTAAAAGAACTGATCCAATTCTAATTTCATGTTTTCATAGTGTATTTGATACTTTTATGACATTAACATGGTTCCATTATTCAAACAGCTTGGTGAGACTTGGAAGAGTGGCTGTCAGCAATGTGTCTGCAGCAATGAAACTCTGAGTGTTAAGTGTGAGCCACTACCATGTCCCACTCAAGAACCAGTCATCTGTACAGAAGATGGTGAGGTGTTGGTGAATCGGACAGTGGACTGCTGTGTGAGACAACTGTGCGGTGAGTCGTTCAGAACTACATCTACTGACATATTGTTTAAACAGGCACGGGTATGGTCTTTTTTAACCATTTAAACACTTGTCCAGATCTGTTGCCTTGTCATGGGGAGTTGTAGCTAAGTTGTATAATAGTTGTATAATTCCCTCTTCTGTCCCTCTAGAGTAGCTTTATTACCCTTTAGAAAATGCTTAATTGCTAGTTTATTTGGGATATATTGCTAAAATTTATGTTGTCTAATTCAACTGCCCTGGAATAATTTCCCACGAATGCTAGATTATTAATTTTTTGTTGAAAAAATAATAATTTTAATCTGGGTTACATTTTAAAACATGGTAAACATCTTAACTTTCAATCAACAGAATGTGATAAGGGCCGTTGTTCAATACAGAAGTGCAAACCGGGACATGAGCTAGAGGTCCACATGTCAAATGACAGTTGCTGCCCCTCTTACGAGTGTGGTAAGCTTTGCATTTCATTTTCATTTGTAATTATAATATTATAATTGTGTGAAATACTTATTATCTAATTTGTTTTTGGTTTTTTTTCAATCTAGTTCCCAAAGACGTTTGTGTCTTCAATGATACTGAGTACAAGGTAAGGAACGATATTCTGTGCATATTTTAAATGAGCTCAATTTAGAGTATACGTGTTTGTTAAAGTGCCGCTTAAACTCTACAGTAAGTCAAAGGAGAAAGCTATGAGAAAAGTTGAGTGGGATTTTTGGATGCAGTTTAATATATGTTGCTTTTTTACTTTTTTTATAGCCTGGTGTGAATTTCTCCAAAGGCCCCTGTGAATCATGCAGATGCACCAACAACAAGGACCCAGGCACCATGCTGAATGACATTGAGTGCTATATGATGTCCTGTCTTCTCAACTGTTCAGAAGTACTTTTGCCTTAAAATATTAAGAGTATTGCAGGTTTTAGTCATTTTTTTGTAAGGCAATTAAGGCATGTATATGATACAAAAATGTTTAACATGACAGATCATACTGCAACATATTATATCTATGGCCACTAACTCCCGACATCGACAAGGAGTTTACCAGTAGTGGTGCATAGACATGTTTTTTCATGTGTAGATGGTGATGTTTTTAACAAGTTAAGAGTTTTGCAGGTCTAAATGTGTGTAGTGATTCATGACACCTTTGTTTAAAGTTAAACAAGGTACACATTTTCTCTTCCTTATCTATTCTTGAAAATGTTTCAGTGTTATTTGCTCAGGTCTCTGAGATTTATGACTCCGTTCATATACAAAAGAGATGAATGTGATTTTGTTTGCTGCGTTTCTGCTTAAGAGATTTCCCACTATTGATTTTCTATTCTGCTGATTAGCCAGAGAAATAGAGGAATCGTCTCCGATAATCAATGTCACCCTGAATCTTTTTAACAAAATCTTGAATATCTATCTCAAACCTTGAACATTAGAATGGCTTGATAACACTTTGCCTGAGTGAGAAAAACATGTTATTTTTGTAAATCAGATGCCACTATCCTAAACAGTCAAGCATTCTGTATTATATTCATTTCATGTTGTTTGAACCTAGTTGTTTGACGTTGCAGATCATCTTGATGTTTGCATGTTTTTCAGGGCTATGAGTTTGAAACCATACCTGGGCAATGTTGTCCATCATGTAAAAAGACAAGCTGTGTATTGGAGGTTCCTGGCTCTTCTTCTCCCATAATCATCGAAGTAAGTACAGGGAAATGGAAACACTTTCATAATCAGGGACGGCTATCTTGAATTTTGGTACTGATGAGAATGTTTTTTTTCACATGTTGACCATTTTTACTCTTCTGACAGCCTTCTAAGTCTTGGTCGCCACCAAATGACAACTGTACGAAATATGACTGCCAAAAAGTGAAGGATGAGTTCGTTAGCGTAAAAAATCAAATCTCATGTCCTGCATTTGATCCAGAGAACTGCATACCCGTGAGTACAATCCAGTCTTCAAAGGAGCATAAATCCTTATTTTTAGAGCTACAACTTTGTAAATAACTCTGAGCCGATGCTGGCTTATCTTGTAGTCCACTCTGCATCAAAAACTGAGACTTAAACTATTTAAAGACTCAAAATATGCTTCTTACATGTGAATGAAAAGTAAATGGTGCTTGTTTAGATGTATGTGCTCACTGCTAAGGGGGAAAAAACAAGGTTTTCAATGTACTTACATGGTATAAAAGACCATTATATGAATTTCTTTGACTAAGGTTTGAGAAGTATAAGGGGTGTAATTGGGCCTACACACAAATACAAAATGAAACTCACGTAATGAGGAGGAAACTGCTCTTTGGTATCTATCTGTATCATTCCTAATCTTCACTGTATTTATTACAGGGTACTGAACAAACTGACATGAATGGTTGTTGCAAAACCTGTAAGTATGACTTGTAAAAATAAGTTAAATGCCATACATAATATTACATATTTTCACTGTCATCATGCGTTACTTGAAGCCTGTGTTAATGGAAGTGAAAGGGGTCTAGGGTTCACCTACTGATGATTTCCATTCTTTACTGATATATTGCTATTTCTTTGATTAATTTTTTCTATTTTTTTTGTAGTTAATTTCTAAGAAAAAGGTTCAAGAGTCAAAGATAATGTCTTCATATTTATTCTTCTGTCATGCCTACAGTCTTTAATCCAAAAGTGAACACAGAGAAGAAGCAGATCCTTGCACTGGTTCCAGTCAATGTTCAGCATTTTTGGATTAAATACTGAAAAAAAAAAAAAAAAAATTGATTACTCATTCTCTCCAAAGAAATCAATAAAAATTGTTTAAAAATTGTTTCAGAGATAAAAAGGTTTCAGAATCGATACAAATGGTTTTATATTTGCAAACATCTGTGATCATTAAAACCAAAAGCCTCAACAAATATACATTTATCCCAATTCAACGGCTAAAACTTAGATGCAAGGTTTTTTTTAAATTTTCTACTGACCTCTGAATGTGTTTCAAGATCTGTTCATGTTTGTTTCTCAGGTACACCTCGTGACAGCTGTCAAATGCAAAAGAACACCACCTACCTGCAGATTAAGAACTGCAAGTCAATTGTTGAAGTGGAAATCACAGCCTGTGTCGGATCCTGTGGAGCGTCATCATCAATGTGAGTATTTCAGGGGTAAACAGTGCAAACCACTTACTCAGTCATGCTTGTACCACTTGTACTCTATTCATGTGAGGGATTATTTTAAGGATGAACGTTAGTCAACATTGAAAAGCTGATGAGCCTGTCTGCAACCGTCTTTCTTTACAGATACTCTGCAGAGAGTAACAGTATGATACATGCATGCTCTTGCTGTCAAGAAATTGCCACCAGTGAGAAGGAAGTGGGTATGACCTGCACTGATGGCAGCAAGATAACGCACACCTACATTTCAGTCGACAAGTGCGGTTGCCACGTCGCTGAATGTCCTAAGGGAATCAACGGTTAACAAGATCTTTTAAAAGACAACATTGATGGCAAAGCTAGATTGCAAATAAGATCTGACCAATATTCTTTATTGACTTACTTATTTAACATTTCCTGTTTTATTTTTAACTATTTGAGAATCAAGTGACACTTCTGTAATGTTCTGGTATAACATGTCCTTCCCCCTTTGCCCTTAGTCTCATAGGGATAGATACGTGATTAGCACATACCATGGCTTCTCATTCAGGTTTAAAAAACTGGTACCTTTTTCAAACTTTATGATATGGTGATATTTAGTCTTAGATGGTGCTTCTTTCTTTTACTGTTAATGACTTGGGAGTTAAAAGGCGCAAGTATATCTTCAGATTTACAGCACAATGTAGAAAATGAATGTATGAATTTAAAAAAGAGTGAAGAATATCTAAGCTTTTTTGTTGAATATTTGAATTGTGAAACTTCTGCAAATCTGAACATCTTCTGTGTCAATAAAACTCAGGTTTAAAGCTCATGATTGAGTGTCCTTGTTTTCATTATCGCTTGGCTATTTTTTTGTACAGTAAGTGTAGAGAGGAGAGTATCTTCATTTCATTCCATCCTTTTGCATCTAGCAGGACGCCATCATCTTTATTTGAATGCCTTGTTTTACATAACCCTTCTTCCATTTAATTTATGATTATTTGATTAGTAGATATTCACAGTCAGCCACCTTTATGTGCATACACTGAGTCCACAGAGTTAACAACTCTGCTTGGCTACTGATATAGAAGTTGAATATAACCTGATTTCTTTTTCTGAGTGTATAGTAAGCAAACCATGTATTTATGGAGTGTTGTATAGATTTATCCGTATATGCATCATTAAAATCTAATTGGAGCATTATCTGTTAAACACATTGTTTTGTTTTAATTAGACAAGTGCTGGGTAATAGTTTATGTTGCCTCCATAACTTTAAATTGGACTATGTATTTTGTGAAACTTCAAAAAACCTAGACACAAAGACAGATAATGAGTTTTGACAAAGGACAATAACTAAGACATGAAGGGATCTGATGCGACTTACATTTTTAAAGGAAAAAAACACAACACACGTTTTGACGACCCTCACAACTTCAGCCCTGTAGCTGCAAATTTTACAGAAATATGTAAAGAAATCTCTGTCTAGGAATAAATGTAGAGACCAGATATTATCTTTGGCAACAGAATTAAGGGTGCAGTTATATAGCCTGCTAAAATGATTCACTTTGAAAACAAAGAGGGGAGCCTGGAGTCAGTTTGACTGTTCTAGTCAAAATGCATAAATATAAAATAAAATGTGACCATGGTTGGTATATAATCATGGTTTGCTATTAGCCAGCACAAAGTTCTTGTTATCTGGAGTTAATTTGATTTTTATTGTAATGTATTCAAGAGTTGACAGACCTTTATGGAGAAAGTTGACATTTATATGACAACGTGGCATTTACCTGATGCTATGGGTTCCTTATAATCAATCAATCAGTCAACCCGTCTTTATTTGTAAAGCGCCAATTAATAACAAATGTTATCTCAAAACACTTCACAAAAAGAGCAGGTCAAGACCTAAATCTTTATCGTATTATTTACAAATACTCAACATTAATCCACTGTGAGCACAGCACGAAGCAAGATTTAGCAAAGTTACAGTGGCAAGGAAAAACTGCCTTTGCAGGCAGAAACCTCGAGCAGAACTAGACTCATGTTTAACAGCCATCTCCCACAACTGTGTTGGGCTTGGAAAGCGGGATAGAGGGAAATGCAGGAAGAATTGTAAAGAGGCAAACAAAGCAACCATATTAACAACATACAAGTAAAACATTGTGAAGTGTAAATCAGCATGACTAGGAGCTGGTCAAACAAAAAGGAAAGTTTTAAGCCAACTCTTAAAAGTACAGAGGGTGTCTGCCTCCTGGACACTGACTGATAAATGATTCCAAAGGAGATGGGCCTGGTAACTGAAGGTTCTACCTCCAGTAGGACATTTAGAGACTGAAGGTAATACAAGCACGACTTCTTTCTGGAAGCGTTTTTGTTCTCGAGGGGTATTATGGCTCATAAGGTCTCTAAGATAAGACGGTGACTGAGTTTAAGAGATTAGTAAGTGAGTAGACAAATTTTAAATTCTATTTTGGATTTTATAAGGAACCATACAGAGACTCTTTATAGGAGTAATGTGATCTCCTTTCCTAGTTCTAGTTAGTACACAAGCTGCAGCATTTTGGATCAGCTAAAGAGTCTGTAGGCCTACTAGGGTAGCCTGATAACAGAGAATACCAATAATCCAACCAAGAGGTAACAAATGCATGAATGCTGGCCAGGCTAGAGCAAGGTCCAAGCCAGGACGTGGTTAAAATAATGAGTAGGTTTAACTACACCCTGGGTGAAGCCAATAAAGGCATGAAAGCTGTGCTAAGGCGATTATTATCCATGGCCACGTGAATATTAGTCACCTACGATGACTATTTTTTATCAGTCCAAAGATCTTTAGTAATTTGATTTTAAAAACTTTGCAAATTCAGATAGAAAATCTGAGGCCAGTTCACTATAAAAGATAAAACGTGCTGAAAGGTTTTTAAAACTAGATGAGAAATACTTAAAACAAGGCTTTCAACAGAAGTATTATTCAGTTTTGGTCAAGGGTTGGTTAGAGCACTGAAAATAGCTGCACTCCACCACCTGTACAACAGTCTCGATGTATATAAGTGTTAACATTTTTGGGAGGAGTGGATTCATTTTAACTTAATAGCAGATATAATAGATAGCAGATCATAAAAGTGATCTTGATGATAGTGAAAATAGTAAACATAATTTTCAGATTATTTGTTGGCACAACTGGTTTCAATTTTTTTTTAATAAAGGGTATGGACCGGGAGACAGACAGTAGAGAATTATAGTTGCCTCTCAACTGAGTTCATTCAATCATTGAGGGTAAGCCCTCATTTACAATGACGTCGAGAGTACAATTAAAACGAATAAGAGACAACAACAAAAAAAGACAAAAAACAACAAAGACAAAATACATAGATTATAAGACCAGAAGAAAAAGCAGTAAGCAGGTAACTACAGTTAATAACATTTACACTCATGAGTACAGTGAACTGTGGTCAAGTTTTTAAATTGACCCATGGTAACCATTGTATTGAGTTTTAGGGTTTAAGACGAGGAAACTATGCCATGTTTTGTTTTTGTTTTTTTAAATAGCTGCACCATCAGAAGTGGGATGAATGTCGTCTCCACAAATGGGGATAAACAGCAGTGTTACAAAATTGTCGTTTACCGGAGACAAAAAATATATATTTCAGTGTCTGGACTGGAACCCATTTCTTTATCGCTATTTGTATCCGCACGGACACTTTTCAGTGTACCACAGCTTAGTAGTCATGTCGGCGCTAAAGACAGAGCGTTCACTGTTAAATTAGTGAAATATCTGTACCAAACAATTTGTTCTTTTTTTTTTTTTTTTTTTTTACCTCTAAGGAAAACACATGTTGAGATTATGTGTTGAAGAAAAGCGAGGTGTTCGTTTCAGTATTGATTTATTTGAAAGGTAAAGTAAGTTTATTGCACACTTCCCCTTTCAGGCTTCTCTCTTCTTCACTGTTCACGGGAGCTAACGTAACGCAGGTTAGTAGACAGTAATAATGTCAACACAGCGGAGACTTCCTTGTTTTACATCACAGACTCAGAGTTAACACAGTTTCTGCTGTTTCTCAGGTTTTAACATATTAGTGAAACGTAAGGTGCTTGCTCTGTTCTTACTTCCGTTAATGGCGTTAAAGTTAATTCTTTAGCAGCAGGTGAAGTAAAGACTATTTGCTTCATAAAATACATGTTCATGTGACCAATATTCTAATATTTCAATTTGTATTATCTGTGAGGTTGTTTTAATACTACTGTGAATGATCATTTCTTGATGCCCAAAGACTGTTTGTTTGTTTGTTTGTTTGTTTGTTTGTTTGTTTTCCCAGTTATTTGTCTGAGCCATGGCGTCACTCTCAGAGGAGGTGCTCCTGGTGGTGAAAAAGGTTCGCCAGAGGAAGCAGGATGGCACGCTTTACCTGATGGCCGAACGTATAGCCTGGGGACCAGAGGGCAAAGATCGCTTCACAGTCAGCCACTTGTATGCAGACATTCGCTGTGAGTGCCCGCTGACATCAAATTGGTGGTGGTGGTTGAATTATTGTGTGTTAAGTTGTGTTTTCTGTACAGGCCAGAAGATAAGTCCAGATGGGAAAGCCAAAATTCAACTCCAGCTGGTCCTTCACACGGGAGACAGTACCACATTCCACTTTGCCAACGAGAGCACGGCGCTCAAAGACAGAGAGGCTGCGAAGGAACTGCTGCAGCAGCTACTGCCCAAGTTCAAGAAGAAGGCCAACAAGGAACTGGAGGAGAAAAACAGGTCGAGTCTCCATGTGTTCTCATGAGACGTTCCTTAAACTTTAGCCCCTCTCATCACAGCACTGGAACAAAGCTCCTCGTCATTACGCCTCTAGATATTCATACTGCAGTGATCCGCAGTGGCTTAATGTTGGTGTCCCCGTCTGTGGCTTCACATTGCGTTACGGCGTTTTGGAAGTGCGAGAGAGCATAGTCAGACATACACACACACACACACACACACACACACACACACACACAGACACACACAGGCTGTTCTCCGCCTGTCCTGTCTGTCCCGCTAACGTAATTTTTGTCTGTGTATCTAAGGCTTAATGCAACTTATTGCTCTGATCTCCATTGTTTCCAAAAGCTAGGCAAACATACCATTAAGCCCAACGTTGGCATTAATATCCTTCATTGTACAATGCTTGAGTCAATCCCATGATCCCCATCCTGATTCAAAAGGGCACTAAACAATTGTGCATTGTATTTTAGCCTGCTTTATCTAATGAGCAAGTGGCCATCATATAAATTTAATTGGAATCACTGTGCAGAAGATCACCCACTATCCATTTTCACTTGAACAGCCAATGCGCATTAACAACGCCCCCCTTCTGCACCTATCACTGACCTCAGACATCACACAGAGAAGACAACTCCACCCCTCACCTCGGTTCTCTGGACTGCTTATTTCATCCTTTTAGCTTCTGTGCGTCCATGAGACTAAACCACTTCACACTACCACACACAAACATACTCATAGAATTATTCTTCAATACACGAGTGGCATCTCAAAGAGAGAGCGTGTGTCGGACTGGATTACCGTCGTTCCATGTTCTTAGCGGACAACCTGTGGCGTCTGCATATCCTTTATAACCAGAATATAAGGTTCAAACATCACTGAGGTCTCGAGAGTGGTATTCTGAAACCACCGCCTCTTTTGTAATCACAATTATTACTTGATAATTTGTCATCCAATTAATTCCCAACTACTCTGAAAAATAGTTAATCATGTTAGATACTCTGAACACAAAGTTTAAGTTGAGTTCAAGTTTAAGTTGTTTAAATCTAAATCACAACCTATTGATGATGT